TTTCATAGGTAATTGAAAATAAGTATTCTCTAATTTGCTGGTACAGGAGTCAACATTTTTATTTTGTTCAAATTTTCTATATCTTTACTCATCTGTTTGATAACTGGTCAATAACTTAAAAACTATTATATCTTCCACTATGAATATAGGTTTATCATTATGTAAAGATCCTATCACAATTCTTTCTGTGAGAAATTCTTACTTTGCTAGTATATGGCTAGAACATATTTTTTTAAAATTTATTTTTCAAGTATAGTTAATATATATTAGTTTCAGGTATACAACATAGTAACTAGATCACCTCGTAAGCTGATTATCATCTGGCACAATACATAGTTATTACAATATTATTGAGTATATTCCTTATGCTGTACTTTATGTCCCCATGATTATTTTTATAACGGCAATTTGTAGTTCTTAGTCCCTTTTACCTTTTGCCCATCCACCTAATCCTCTTCCTATTTGGTTAACATCAGTATTTTCCTCTAGCTAGGAGTTTGTTTTGTTTGTCCATTTTTTTTTTTATAGATTCTACACATAACGTGAAATCATCTGGTATTTGTCTTTCTCTGTCTAACTTATTTCACTTAGCATAATACCTTTTGGGTCGGTCCACCCATCTTGTTGCAAATGGCAAGATTTCATTCTTTTTTTATGGCTGAATAATATTCTGTTTTATATATATGCACCACCTCTTTATTCACTTCTTTTTTTTAATATATTTTATTGATTTTTCACAGAGAGGAAGAGAGAGGGATAGAGAGTTAGAAACATCGATGAAAGAGAGTCATCGATCAGCTGCCTCTTGCACACCCCCAACCGGGGATGTGCCCGCAACCAAGGTACATGCCCTTGACTAGAATGGAACCCGGGACCCTTCAGTCCGCAGGCCAACGCTCTACCACTGAGCCAAACCGGATTTGGCTCTTTATTCACTTCTTTATTGATGGACACTTATTGACTATTGTAAATAATGCTACAGTGAACATAAGGGTGCATATATCTCTTTGAATTTGTGTTTTGGATTTCTTCCAAGAAGTGGAATTGCTGGGTTAAAAGGTAGTTCTATTTTTAATTGAGCCTCCATACTGCTTTCCATAGTGTCTGCACCATTTTATAATTTCACTAACAGTGTACTATTAGAGTAGAACACATTTCTTTTTTAAAAAAAAAATACATCTTTATTGATTTCAGAAAGAGGGAGAGATAAAAACATCATTGATGAGAGAGAATGATTGGTAAGCCACTTCCTGCATGCTTCCCACTGGGGATGGAGTCCTCAACCCAGGCACCTGTCCTGACTGGGAATAGAACCGGGAACTGGTACATAGGTCAGTGCTCATCCACTGGGCACAACTGGCCGGCTGGAACACATTTCTTTGGGATGGTATGTGACTGGTTTATCCTTTTCCATTTCTTTATTTTATTTCTGTGTTATGTTTTTAGGAGTGCTGTTTATGAACAACATGGAGCTGGAATTACCTATTATCTGATCGGTGAATCTGTCTTGAAACTGGTGAGTCCTATCCGTCATATATGATAACCAATGTGGTCGAATGTATTTATATCACTTTATTTATTTGTCTTTGCTTCTTTTGCATCCTTTTGCTGTCTGTGGAATTGATTTCTCTGCTTAATGTTGATTCTTAAATTCTATGCTTGCTTTCTGGATCCTTTCCAAAACAATGTTTTTTGGGTTGTTTTTTTTTTTAGTTCTTGCAGTATTTATTTGTCTGAAAATTTATGTGGCTCTCACTTAAAGATTTTTTTTTTTCCATTCTTCTAAGTGTTTTCTTTTGTAGGTAATCTAACTTTTTTGTCTGGGTGCCTTTCACATTTCTCTGTGACTTTGGAGTTGTATAATTTTAGTACAGTGTTTCTGAAGTATGGATTTAATTTATCCTTTGGACAGGGTAAGGGCTATGTGAGTTTATGTGTTTCATTAAGTCTGAGAAACCTTCAGTCATTTGTACAATCCTTCTGGAACTCCTGGTAGTAGTGCTGGGCATTTTAATTTTACTTTCCATGTCTTTCAACTTTTCTCTCATGTTTTCCATTTCTTTACTTCTCTATGATACATTATGGGCACTTTTATTTTTTAAAATCTTTATTGAAAGTATTACATATGTTCCCCTTCCCCCCATCGACCCCATCTATCCCACTTTGCCCCACGCATTCACCACCCTATTGACTGTGTCCATGGGATATGCATATTTGCATATAGGTTCAGATGTATCATTGCCAATTAAATTCTGTCATACCGTGGACTCCCTTTTTGTTTTGTTGGTTTCTTTTGCTGTGCAAAAGCTTTTTATTTTGATGTAGTCCCATTTGTTTATTTTCTCCTTAGTTTCCTTTGCCCTAGGAGATATACCTGGTATCCATAAAAATATTGCTACAAGAGATGCCTGATATTTTGTTGTTTATGGTTTCTTCTGGGATTTTTATGGTTTCACAACTTACATTTAAGTCTTTTATCCATTTTGAATTTATTTTTATGTATAGTGTTAATTGGTCTAGTTAAAAATTTTTTTTTTGCATATATCTGTCCAATTTTCCTACACCATTTATTGAAGAGACTGCCTTGACTCCACTGTATTATATATTCTTGCCTCCTTTGTCAAATATTAATTAAGCTTAATGCCTTGGGCCGATTTCTGGGGTCTCTTTCTGGGGGGAGCTGGCCTAAGCTGGCAGGTGGACAACCCTCTCGCAATCTGGGACTCCTTGTTCCTTACCGCCTGCTTGATGCTCCTTAGAGCTGCTGCAGAGGCTGGAGCAGCCGCCGCTGGGCTCACCAGCTGTTTGCACGGCTTCTGGCTGAGCGGTGCTTCCCCTGTGGGAGTGCACTGACCACCAGGAGGCAGCTCCTGCATTGAGCATCTGCCCCTTGGTGGTCAGTGCACATCATAGTGACCAGTCCTTCTGATTGTTCTGCCATAAGGGTGGCTTAGGTTTTTATTATATAGACTTTTATTATATAGACAAAATCTGTGCAAGGGGCTCGGCCCTCTCCCGTTGTGGCAGCTACCTCTGCCTCAGTGCTTTGTCCAGAAGGATGTCTAGAAGGACATCAATCTAATTAGCATATTATGCTTTTATTATAATAGATAATAAAAGCATATTATGGTGGCTTTATAGTAAAACTTGATTATCAGGTGTTGTGATTCCTCCAACTTTGTTCTTTCTCAAGATTGTTGCAGCTATTCGGGATCTTTTTTGGTTCCATATAAATTTTTGGAGCATTTGTTCTAGATCTGTGAGATATGTTATGGGTATTTTAATAGGGATTGCATAGAATCTGTAGATTGCCTTGGGTAGTATGGACACTTTAATGATGTTAATTCTAACAATCTATGAACACCATATATTCTTACACTTATTTATATCTTCCTCTATCTCTTTTCAACGAAGTCCTATAGTTTTTCTAGTATAAGTATTTTACCTTTTTGGTTAAGTTAATTCCTAAGTATCTTAATTTTTTTGTTGCAATGGTAAATGGGATTGTTTGTTTAGTTTCTCTTTCTGAGATTTCATTATTGGTGAATTAAAAAAAAACTATCAATTTTTGGGTGTTGATTTTGTATCCTACTACATTGGCAAATTCATTTATTAAATATAGTAGTTTTTTAGTGGAGTCTTTGGGGTTTTCTATATATACAATATCATGTCATCAGCGAATAATGAGAGTTTTACTTCCTCTTTTCCAATTTGGGTGCCTTTTATTTTTTCTTATCTGATAGCTGTGGCTAGAACTTCTAGAACTATGTTGAATAAGAATGGTGAAAACAGACATCCCTCTCTTGTTCCTGTTCTTAGGGGAAATTGTTTTTTTTGCCCATTGAGTATGATGTTTGCTGTAGGTTTGTCATATATGGCCTTTGTTATAATAAGATAAGCTCCCTCTATGCCTACTATGCTGAGCGATTTTATAAAAAATGGGTGTTGGGTTTTGTTGAATGCTTTTTCTGCATCTATTGATATGATCATGTGATTTTTGTCTTTCAATTTATTCATGTGATGTATCACTTTTATTGACTTGCAAATATTGTACCAGCCTTGCATCCTGGAATAAATCCCCTTTGGTCCTGGTGTATGATCTTTTTAATATATTGCTAGATCCAATTTGCTAATATTTGTTGAGGATTTTAGCATCTATAGTATGTTCATTAGTGATATCGGCCTGTAATTCTCTTTCTTTGTGTAGTGTTTTTATTTGGTTTTGGGATTAGGATAATTCTGGTCTCATAAAAAGAGTTTAGAAGTGTTTCCTTCTCTTGGATTTTTTGGGATAGTTTGAGGAGGATAGGTAATAGTTCTTTTTTGAATGTTTGGTAAAACTCCTCTGTGAATGCATCCGGACCAGGGCTTTTGTTTGCTGGGACGTTTTTGATTACTGCTTCTATTCCATCAGTTGTTATTGGCCTATTAGGGTTTCTGATAATTCCTGATTTGATTTGGGATATTGTATTTTTCTAAGAATTTGTCCATTTCATCCCATTGTGAGGGTTTGCAAACTCTTCAAGTATATTAATGCTGATTTTAGTTCACTAATTTTTCATGTTCATCTAATCTGCTGGTAATCTATTAACTTTTTTAAAAGGAGGGATTATTTTAGTACAGAAAAAGTGCATAAAACACAAATTTACAACTAAATTAAGTATTTTAAAGTCAATGTCTGTGTCACAATCACAGAAATAGAAAATGTCCAGCTCTCTTAGAAGTTTGTCCTCTCACAAGCACAACCCTTTCTTTCCTCCAAAGTTACCACTACCCCGACTTTAACACTGGATTTCATTGCTAACATATACATATGGACCTGTCTCCCTTTGCTTGCCATTTTGTTTCTGAGATGCCTCTGTATTGCTGCATGGAACTGTAGTTCATTTATGTTCAGGGCTGCTATGTCTCATGCCAGGTTCCCAGTGCTGTGGCTGTTCTCGGTCCTTTTCATTTCCAAATCACTATGTGATTTCATTTGCATAAAGAACAAAACAGGCAAAAGTATAGAGTTTTATATGGATGGTTTGTTGGGCCCCTAAATTACATGAAAGGTTAATGACATGGCTTTTTCAGGATCCACATTTTACTTATTGTTGAACAAAGAAGCAAAACACAATATAATACAGTATGATCCCATAAAAACAAAAACATATCTTTGCACTTATGCAACTATACACTGTACATATTTAGCTGTTCAAATAATGCTAGAATTCTAGAAGCACCAAGCTTCTGCCAGTGCTTACCTATGGTATGTGGGAATGGGGCAGAGTGCAGGAGGGCGGGAAGGTCTGTGTTGCAGGGGAGGAGCTATGTGGGCTGATTTTACCTTCACATTTTACTTCTTCCTTTATTTGTATATAAACCTTTACAGTAAGAATTCTTTCTCTCTCTTTTTTTTAAACAACATCAGTGAAAGGCATATTATCAGAAGAAGAAAGGAATGAGGATTTGCTTTGGGCGTGGCAGGCTCCCCACCAGGCTCTTGTCAGCTATGCTCTGGTGGCTGCTGTCACCCTCCAGAGCACAGCAGAGCCAGCCCAAGGTGGTCCTTATCCTCTACTTTGTTTAGGACACTTTAGTGGTTCGTTTTCATCTCATGGAAGCATGGCTTTAAACAGCAGTGCCCGAATTCAAGACACATTGATTGCAAGCAATTCTAAAAGTCAGGCTGCTGCCCCTGGAGACCGTGTGGGACACAGGGAAAGTCCAGAGCAAAAGGAAAAGGCAACCGCTGTCCCACGTGCCCTGGGAACCAGATGGATTCCTGGCCTTCTCATCTCCTCAAGAGAAATGGGGTGGGGGAGAGGCGATGGAACAAGGAGAAGGGGTGATTCATGGGCCAAGGGAGCCCTGCAGTGACCAGAAGCTTCCTTTCCTTCAGGCTTCAGCTCTACTGAGCTCATGTCTCATCCTAGGCCTGCTTCTCAAGCTGCATCCACCGCAAGATCATCTGTTCAGTTAAGTTGCATGAAGTGTAATGATCTAGCGCTCATCATGTATGTGTCCATCATTGTGCTTGCAACAACCCCTTACAAGGGCTACTATCCTTGTCCTCATCTTACAGGTGAGAAACAGAGGCCCACAGAAATGGCTGGAAGTGGCAATTAGAACCATCCATTCAGTCTGACTTCCCAGCCTGCACTCTTAACCTCTAGGCTCTGAGGCAGGGTGATTCCAGAATGAGTGGGCAATGGCTTGGCCACCCAGTGCAAAAAGACATCCACTGGAATAGGTCAGTATCCATTGTGGCTCTGTCCCTTTACAAGCCCCTTCTGCCTTTTGAGCCTGGATATTCACATCTGTAAAATGGATCAAAACACTGTGGCACCCAATAAAAAGCCGCCATCATCATCATCACATCATCAGCTCCACTTGAACTAAGGCATTCCTTTCTCTCTTCTTCCTAATGAGCCGGAGTAGAGCCCTGAATGACTCCTATTGGAAACTAAGCACGATCTACCCAAGGCCTGCTCAGAGTGGTGAGCATAAGGAGGTGGGAAGAAGGAGTCTTTATAGGTACTCCACTTTGCACCTGTCCTGCAAGGTGCCCAGAGAGGTGTCCCTTCTTTCCGTCCCCATGGCCACCTCCCTAGTTCAGGCCTTGCTCCTGGAAGGCTTCCTGACTCCAATCTATGCCCACATAACAACCACTGACACCCCTGACTCCCCTGCTTAAGAACCTTCCCCATTTTCTTGGTGCAGCTTACTCCAACCTGGCCTTCTAAGGCAGCGGTCTCCAACCTCTTGGATCTCATGGACACCAGTAGTCCACAGACCACCGGTTGGCAACGCTGCTCCAAAGGTTTCCTTAAACCAGCAGTCACCAGCCTTTCGGACCTCAAGGACCACCAGTTGGCAACTGCTGTTCTAAGGAGTCACCGACTGCTCAAACACAGCCCTCTTCCTTCTCCAGAGCACCCTGCTCTATGGCAGTTCTCCACCTTTCCAGCTTATGCTGGTCCACTGGCCTGCAGTGCCTCCCCTGGAGTCACACCCTCTTCCCTTAATCAACTCTCACTCCTCCTCTGAAGTCCTGTTCAGATCCTTTGGGAAGTATCCTGTAATTGCTTTCCGCTCCCCCAGACACACCCAGGGTTTGAGATGCCCTTCCCTGTCTCACTACATTTTGTTCCTCAGGTGCTTTAGGCAAAATTAAGATAATTTACTGCTTTACACATCTGTCTTCCCTACTATCTTTTCCTACTCTAGGTCAGGGTCCGGACTCCTCTGCATGGAGCTTTCACAATGTCTAGCACATAGTAGGTGCTTGGTAAATGTTAGAGCATGAATAAAGACTAACTGCATCTCAGTAAAAGGAAAAACTTTCTAAACCCCATATTAGTGGACTACCAAACTTTGTGACCTTTGAGGCCATTTGCAGTAGGTTTTGTGTGTGAAGGCCCTTTGTTAACTGTGAAGTGCAGTCCACGAATCTTGGCTCCTGGTATTCCCCAGACTCTGAGACCGGGGACTGAAGGCTGGGGTTACAGGTCCTCAGATTCTGGGAGGTTGCGGACCCAGCCCTGGGCCACTCTGTTGAAGTTGGGTCTGAGGCGGAGGAGTTCCAAGCCACTGGTGAGCTCTGGGAGGAAGGGGGTGCTTGCCCTGGACGTAGTCTCTCCCACCAGGAGTCCTCCAAAGGGCACGGGGGTCCTAGGGGAAAAAGAGCAGCAGGAGAGGTGGGCTGGGAAAGAACAAGATGGCAGCACCCTGACATGCAGGTCTGTGTGGGGCCTCTGTCTGCCTCTCTCCAGGACTCAGTTACTCCTTCTGTACAGCAAGATTTTGCACTACTTTTTTTATTTTTAATATTTTTAATTTTTATTTTACAGAGAGGAAGAGAGAGGGATAGAGAGTTAGAAACATTGATGAGAGAGAAACATCGATCAGCTGCCTCTTGCACACGCCCTACTAGGGATGTGCCCGCAACCAAGGTACATGCCCTTGACAGGAATTGAACCCGGGACCTTTCAGTCCGCAGGCCGACACTCTATCCACTGAGCCAAACTGGTTTCGGCAGGTTTTGCACTACCTTTAACAGGATCCTCTTTGGGATGGCTTATTGCTTAGAAATTGGAGCCAAGTTTTCAGAGTTGGGATTGGCTTGTCCTAAGCAGAACTCTAGGTTCCCCATAAGCAAGCTCCAGAAAGCAGCAGAGTTGGTACAGGTTGTTTCCTTTGCCTTTTCATCTCCCCTCAGAGAAACATGCCACAAACTGAAGTGAAAGGGGAGGACAAGCATTGAGAATCAGGGAAGTGCAGATTGCAACAGACCTGGTTTCTAACCATAAGACTGGCAAGAAGAAATGACTGGATAACGAGGCAGAGCTTCACTCATATACTACTGTTTGGAGGGCACACTGGTGCTACTCCCTCGGAGCATAGTTTAGCAGGATCATTTTAATCTGGAAATATGCAAATTCTGCCACCAGCAACTCTACCTGTAAGCGGGAAGCACATGCACACACGCACAAGGAAGCAGATATGAGCAGGGATTAGTGACAAGCCATAAACAACCCAGGGTCCATTGGCAGAGGTACGGACACGACAGAGGTAGTGTAGTCACATGATGGAATATTATACAGTAGCTCAAAAGGAATGAAAAGATCAATATAAAGTAGGGTAGATTTTAAAAGCATAATGTTGAGTGAAAACAAGAAGTTACAAAAAGAAATTCAAAGTATTAAAACATGTATACATATACAACAAGGCTATATCCCCTATAGGTATATGGCTGCCCTTAGAAAATGTTCTGAAAACTTATACACCAACCTGACAACAGTGTTTGCTCCCTTTGGGATCGAGGACAGTAAACAAAGGAACCCTTCTTTTGTAGTTGCATGATTAGTTTTTAAGAGAATGTAAGTGACTTGAAAACTATTCTTTAATTCTAAGAGAAATAAAAAGCATTGATCATGTGCTGTTTTCTCCACAGGCTGGGCACAATGGGAAGAAGAGAGTGTTTGCCCCTAGGGTGGAAAGGCAAAACTTGGGCTAGGGCCTGGGTTCCAGCCAAGACTGGGTTTCTGCTTAGACTACCCCAGCTGTGGCAGCAACAGCCAGGCCCCCTGGGGGACAGGCTGGGATGTTTCCAAGCCAATGCAAGCCTCACAACTGGGCCCTTGACTAGGAGCCCAGAGACCTGGCTCCTGGGCACAGCTTGGCCACCAACACTGCTGTTCCTCTTCAGGCTTCCTCGGTTAGTCCTTCTGTCCCAGCAGGACCCGGGTTCAGGGCTGCCTAAGACCCTGCTGCTGGTGAGAATGTGCTTGTCTTTCATACCCGAGGTTTAGATGGATGGGGCTGCAACCTGAGCTGGCCAGCGGGGAAGCTGGCTGTCAGGACTGAATGTCTACTGAGGGTTTTAAATAGCTGGGCAGGCAGGGTCTGACGGCCCCAGGAGGTGAGAGAGCACAGGCCTGGCTGGCGAGAGACCCCAGCACATCTGCCAACGGCTTGTGGCTCACACAGCACCGGTTTGGTAGAATTCTTTCCATCAAGGCCTTCCCTGACTTTGAGGGCAGTCACATGCCGCCTCAGCAGTCTCTTCTCAAAGCTCATCACCCCCTGTTCCTTCAGCTCTCCCTCAGAAGGCCTGGTCTCCAGGCCCTGGCACCACCCATCAATTTTTGTCAGACAGACATAGCCTCCACATGTGGTCTGAGCAGATGCCAGAAGAGCTGGACTGGGGCCTCCTCTCTCCAGACCCTCCACTTTCACACTTACCGTGGTCCAAGCCAGAGGAGCATTTTTCAGAAATAGCATCAGTCTGAGGAAGCCAATTGCAATTGAAATCCATCCCCTAGCCCAAGGTCTTCCTCCAGTGCCAAGCTCCTGTCTTGACTCCTATGATTTGTTTCTGAGCCCTTCGGGCAGAATGTTAAATATATCCTTTTATTCCCCATTAACTTTTCCAACTATCATTTCAACCTATAAATAATAATGATAATAATAGCAGCTCTTGTTTATTGAGTGCTTATTGCTTGCCAGAAACATTGCCTATGGCTTCTTATGCTATCCTCATAACAATCTTATGAAGTAGGTGCAATAATAGTCTCATTTTACAGATAGGAAAATGGAGGCTCAGAGCGGTTAAGTCACTCTCCCAAGGTCACACAGCCAGGTAAGGAGTCTGCATTTAAGCCCTTGTTGAGGCCCCATGCTGTAAACAGTACAAACCACTCCTCTGTGACCCTCATTTCTAGTGTCCAATGTCTCACTGCTACTCCCTGCTTTGGTGCAGCCTCAAAGCCACTTCCTAGGCATTGATGAAAATGAGGAACAGGCTGAGCTATGTAGGACTGGTGAGATCTGGGGGCCCCACCCAGGAAGGATGTGCCAAAGAGGTGGCACACAGCAGTGATGGAGAACAAGAAACCAAGCTCTGGAGTCAGACGGCCCAGACTTGGACCTCAGCCCTGCCCTGCGCGTCCTTGTTTTGGGACTTCGGGCCGGTTGCTGATATTTCTGAGCAGGTCTCTTCACAGGCAGAATAGGGAAAACTGTAGCACCAGTCGCACCCCGTTGTGGGGAGGATCCAATAAGATGTGTGGCACATTCCCTGTACATTTATTAAGGACCTACTGTGTGCTGAGGCAAGAGTTCTATTCAGTTCTAGCAAGAGCTTAGTGAATGTTTATGACATGTTCTAACATTCTACAGCTTGGCATGTAGAAAGTGTTCAGGAAATTCAGCTACTGCTGTGATTATGACTGGCACCTGTGCCCCCTCCTGCTCTCCCCAAGCAGCCCACCCTGCCTTACTTGTTGAAATTTCGATACTGCGCAGGGCTGGGAGTGTGACTTCGGCCATCGCTCTGGAAGTCTCGGTAGCTGATAAACTGCTGCCACGGGCAGTGGTAGCCCTTGGGGATGACCGTATGGTTGAACTTCTCTGGCGGGATGCTCTTGAGTGGCTCGGCATAGCCTGGAGGTGAGCAGGGCATGTGGGTTCCTTTCTCCCTTGGGCCCCCACACCCACACCCACCTCAGAAAGGGTTGGGGGAGGGAAGACCGAAGCTGGGAAAGGGGGGTGTGTGTGGAGTGTGGCAGGGAGGGTGATGCCAAAAGTTGTTCTCTCAAAAGGTAACCTTCCCCATCCCTAGAAACAAGGAGGATTGGTGTAGGGCAATTACCAGTTGAGGTTCATCTTCTAATCTTGACTTGCTGTGTGATCTGGGGTGTGTTGCTGCACCTCCTGGGTTAGGTCCATGGAGGGGTGTGTGTGTGTGTTTGGATAGGGAAGGGGGTGGATTGGACTGGATGCTCTGGGTTCTCTTCCTGCCCCATTGTGGAGCAGCACGCCCACGCTCTGATTTCTACCCCATACCCCTGCCCTTCCTCTTTGCTCCAAATTGGGGAGGCCACTCACCTGGTGCCAGGGCGCTGGGGCTAGGGGTGTGCTGTACCCGGGAAGCTTCAGGCTGGGCGTCTTCAGGGTCCCCGGCTGGGAAGATGTGGAGCTCTGAGCGGCAGTTCTGCAACTCCGGGCTCATGGCAACCTGGGCAATGGATAGCCTTGATATTGCCAGACCCCGTCACCCAGCGTCCCCTCCTGTTGGGTCTCCCTCAATGCTCACTGTCCCTGGTTCCCCAGTTCCAAGTCACTGTCCCCTAGGTGCTCTTCTAGCCACTGCCGGGGAGTGGGAATGAGGGATGGGCAAGGGGCCAGGGATCACCCTCCACAAACAAGGGGGCCACACAATCCTAGCACCCACCTCCTGGAGATATTGGGGAGGGGGGTATGAGTGAATCGTGCAATGCCCTAAACTCAGTGCCCAAGACAGAGATGCTTTGTATATAGTTGCTACTATAATATTAACCCTGGGCAAATAACCTCTCTAAACCTCAGTTTCCCTCTCTGTGAAATGGAGATAATGATGATAATCTCACTTTTTGAGCGATAAATGAGCTGATAACATTTAAGTGCTTAGCTGGTGTCTTAGAAGATGGCTAAGGTGTTATCTTTATTATTCTGCCATAAAACTCCTCAGTTGCCTTCTGTCTCATCCAGAAATTGGGTGGAGCACAGATAAGCTGCCCTGTGTTCATTAGGGTGGCCGAAACTGCCCGCTGCCTTTTTGAAGCCCGAGAATAAGCATCTTTGCCTCCTTTCTCTACCAGCTGCCTGGGCTGCTATCTTGTCCTCCTTCCAGTGGGAAGCAGAGAAAGAGGCATTCTGTGTTTTCCATCTTAGATCAGGTCGAATCTAAATGTAGCTTGCTGCAAATTCAGCCCAGCACACATGACCATTTTCCAGCACTATTTGTAGGAGCTGGAGCCCCTTCACTCTGCAGCTCCCCCTGCCCACTCCATGTTATATTTTGCTTTGGGAAAGAGATGTGCATTGAAGATGCAAAACTTCTAGGCTCACACTGCAAGGCAGGGCATCAGTCTGGTGGGAACGTCACAGCCTTCTCTAGCTGGAGCTTGAGGGACTGCCCAGGTGCCAGAGGTCCTCTCCTGGCTATTTGGTTTTAGGCAGACCACTGGCCTTCTCTGGGCTTTAGTTTCCCCTCTGAGCACAATGCCGTCTTACCTCCCGCTGGCTGGCAGCAAGTTCAAAGGTGAATTTCTGCACACGGCGCTGTCTCTTCTGGAAGAGGAGGGATCCTCGGTTGTTGCGTAGCGATAGCTCCTCCATCATTAAGTCCTGGGGCACGCTCAGCTTCTTGCCCAGGTCCAGCAAAGGGGCTGTGGGGAGAGGCCAGGCCACTCAGAGACACTTCTAAGGAGATCTCCTCATGGCACGGTCCGTGGTGTTGAGAATGCTGCCTTCTCCCCACACTTGCCAACACTGAGTGCATCATTCAGTGGACTCTGTCCACCTGGTGGGCAGATATGACACCTCAGAGTTTAATTTGCATGCATCTGACAGTGAAATGAGCATCGATTCAGATGTCCTTTGGCCATTTGTATTTACATATCCCATGGATTTCCTGTGCAGCTCTCTGCCTACAGCGGTGGAGGTAGTGAGAAATGGTCAGGTCCTAGATTTCTTTAAAGGTAATCCCTGGGTAAGGGATATGAAAGAGAGAGTAGAGTGGAGGGTGACGGCAGGCTTTCTGGCCTGAGTCACTGGAAGGTTGGAGCGGCCACTCCCTGAGATGTGGAAGGTTTGGAGCAGGAGAAATTCAGTTTAAAATCTCCACCTTTCCAAGTGAGCAAATTTCTGTCTTATATAATGCTTACTCCATATTTAAGGCACCCTAATTTTCTTCAAAATTGGGCATATAAGGTTTAAAGAGACTTGTATGTATCCAGGTGGAGAGACTCGAGTTGATGGGAGGTAACTGACCTGAGATAAAGATTGGTGCAGAAGAAGAGAAATAAAGTGATGTCTAGTTGAGACAATAGCCAGTTTATAGCCTGGGGCTCCAACATTTAGACTGAGGAATGACAGAGCCCTAGAGACGGTGAAGGGAAGAGCAGCCAGCAAGGCAGGAGGAAATCTAGAGCATGGTTGTCCTGGAAACCAAATTACTAAAGCATTTCAAGGAAGATGGGCTGATCAACAGTCAGGTGCTGCTGATGTGTCAAGTAAGATGAGGGCTAAATTGACTATGATTATTTAGTAATGTGCAGTTACTATTGGTGACCTTCACAGAAGCAGTTGCTGGGTGAAAGCCTTATTGGAGAGGGTTCAAGAGAAAATGGACAGAGGAACCGCTGGGCCACACCACGAGGAAGCAAGGAGCCAAATCTAGGATGTGGAACATTCTACAGGGCAGCTGGCCTGGTTTCTTCAAAAGAGTGAGTGACATGGGAAAAAATAAGTGGGGGTTGTTTTAGATCACATGTGTCAAACACAAGGCCCACGGGCCAAATCCATCCTGCCAGGCCTTGCAATGTGGCCCGAACCACGCTGTCATCACTGCACTCCGCTGCGTTTCCATCACAATGACAGTTTATGACTGTTCAGTAAACCATTCGGCCCACGATTTAGGCTGGATTTTAGATTTTGGCCCCTTCTCTGATTGAGTTTGACACCCCTATTTTAGATGAAGGGAGATTTAAGGGACATAGCAACCAAATAGAAACAATGGCCCTTATTTGAATCCTCATTAGAACGAAGTAGAAGATTGGAGAAAGTTGACTATGGGACTGGTTATTAGACGTATTGCTAATTTAGTTCTGTGTGCTGATAACTTTGATGTGTAAGGAAAAGTCCTTTTTATGATTTTTGTGCATTCGGAAGTATTTAGAGCATGAAGTGACACACTCTTTGGGATTTGCTTTGGATTCCAGGAATGAAAGGAGGGCCATGGGGATTTGCACTCTACTTTTATGTGTGTTTGGAAATTGGCTTGGTAAAATGTTAGAAGAGGAGAAGGGGAAGAAAACAGAGACAACTGCTTTGAGGAGCTGTGCTCTAGACCAGCGGTTGCCAACCTGTCTGACCTCTCGGACCACTGGTGGTCCATGGACCACAGGTTGGTGACCGAAGATCTAGACCATGGTTGGAGGCAGCTGTGCATTCAAGAGGGGTTTCTTGTTTATTTGTTTGTTTCTAAAGAGGGAGAAATAACAGCATGTTTGTTAGCTGATGGGAAAATTTGACAGTGCAATAGAGAGAGTGGAGAATTACTGAAGGAATATCTGTCCTTGAGTAAGAGAGAGGGAGGGGAGGGCATCTGGTGCCCAACTAAGAGGGTTGGCTTTATACTGGCAAGAAGAGTTCATCTAGCACATCGGGGAGAAAAACTGAGAACGTGGACATAGGTCAAGCAATAAACGAATGTGGAGGAGGCAGCGTGCAGCTGTTCTCTTCTGGTGACTTCACTTTTCTCAATGAAATAAGAAGGCATTGACTGAGAATGAAGATGGGGAAGGAGGCATTGGAGGTTTGAGGAGGGAGGGTGCCAAAGTTGTCTGAGAGTAGTGGGTAGGTGAGTGGGCCGGGGAGATGGATATGGTGATCAGGCAGCACTGAGGCCAGTCAGGGGCTGTGACTCATTCCATTCAATGGACTCCTTCCTACAGAGCCTTTTTAAAAAGGAGGGTGATTTTTCCCTTCTTTCAGCAGATATAGAGAGAGCACCTTCTACATGTTAGGGGCATAAGGAAATTCATTGTAAGTTAGAAGGGGGAAAAGTATGTTTCAAAAGAATCTGTAGTCTAAGGTCCCACTATATTTAAAAAAATAAATATATGTTCATACATGCATTGAAAAATCTCCAAGGACATGTTGAATATTAGCAGTATTCACTTAGCAGTGATGACTTATGGGACATAGGAAAAAGGAGGGCTAGGAATGGTAATTGTTTGCACTGTTATTTTTTTTTAAACAATAGAATGTACTGCACACTTAAAAATATAAAAGTAAAAAAAGAAACAAAAACATAAAAAATAAATATATAACAAAGAGTCTCCTGGCATATTCTCAAATATTATCCAGATGAACAGAGCTTAATATTTAAAAAAAAGAAAAAAGCTATAGACAAAACCTATTTGATTAAGCAATTCTGGCATTCATTCTTGGGGAGAAAAATTGAATAAACATGCCCAAAGATATAAATACAAGAATTTTATTACAGTGAGGTTTCAAATTACGAAACCTGGGATCAGTCTGTGGTGGATGCTGCCAAAGTGCCCTTTATTGTGGTTGACAGCCCACAACTGCTGCTTTTACAGAGATCTGCCCAGGTGAACAGAAGGGGTCATGGGCCTTGCTGAAGGTGGGATGAATTCTGTGGCACCCTCAGGGTCAGACTGAATCTGGGCTACAGCTGAGCCCGCATCCTTGCTCAGCAGCTTCCCTTCTCCTGAGCGTGCAACCTCAATAAGTCACTTGCTCAAGAATCCTCGGCGCTTTTCCTAAAGGTCCCACTTTGAGACAAGCCTTCATGACACCAATTGAAGGTTTGTATGAGTATAAATACATATAACATATGACATGCTAGGGAAGCAGGGGGGAGGTGGTGAGGATGGAAAGGATTCTGTGGTATGCTGCTAAGTGAAAAGAAATTTAAGTTGAAGAGCACAGTGAATACTAGTAGTCTTTAGCCCACGTATGTATATTTGCATTTATATAAATATGTTTATATATGAACAGAAAGAGGATTGACACAAATATTAGAACATTGGTTATCTCCAGATGGTTCTACTAGAAGGAACTTACACTTTCAAAGTCCTTCATGTCTATTTGGTCTGAATATTTTCTAAAATGATTAGTAGAGGCCTGGTGCATGGATTTGTGCACTAGTGGGGTCCCTTGGCCTGGCCTGTCGGATCGGGCCAAAACCAGCTCCCCAACATCCTCCGAGGGGTCCTGGATTACAAGAGGGCAGTTCTTGGGTGACATAGTCTGGAATCAGTCTCCCTCCTCTCTGGTTCCAGGTGTATCATCCAAGAACCACAGCTGCCAAGTCACCGCAGCTCAGCAACTCCTATGTTGAGTGTCTGCCCCTGGGTCAATGTGCATCATAGCTAACATCAGAGTGTCTGCCCCCTCGTGGTCATTGTGTGTCATAGCGACCAGCCAGTCGGCCAGTTGGCCAGTTGCTTAGGCTTTTATATATACACTGAGTGGCCAGATTATTATGATCTCTGAACGAATAATAATCTGGCCACTCAGTATATATCCTATATAATAAAAGGCTAATATGCAAATTGTCCTCTTGATCAGAGGTTTGACCAGCAAGTAGGCTGGCCAACCACCCATGTCCCTTCCCCTTGGCCAGGCTGGCCAGACCCCACCCATGCACGAATTCATGCACCAGGCCTCTAATACACACACACACACACACACACACACACACACACATATACTGAGTGGCCAGATTATTATGCATTCAGAGATCATAATAATCTGACCACTCAGTATATAGATGTGTTATTTGTATAACTATATAGTAAAGCAGATATGGAGTGAAATCTTGGTTATGTCACACATCTTGGTTAAGATGTATGACCATCTACCTCCTCTGGGCCTCAGTTTCTCATCTGCTGAATGGTGATAATAATGTCTAATTGACAGAGTTGTTGTAGAGTTTATGTAATATAAAGCATCAAAGCTCTTAGCATAGTATCTGACACATGGTAAGCAGTAATGGTATTTTTATTATTCTTACTCTGCAATGAGTGTCTCTTTGTAGCAAAACCATGAGGTGGTTATGTTTTGTTTTGATTTTACTTTATATTTTTCTTTAGTTTCAAAATAGTCTTTAAGTAATAACCTAGCAATAGTCAACATTTTACATATTTCCTGTCTGACATAAATGATGTATGCCAATATTTGGGGTCAAATTAATTGCTTAGTTATAAGAAGAGAAAATGCATGGCCCTGTCCTTTTGGTTAGAGCACTAACAAACACTTCACAAAGTCTGTGTGTTTCAGCACATGAAATCATGGAATAAAAGAAAAACTTGACTCCCACAAAAGGAGGCAAGGACACACAAAACAGGTTAAAAGGACGACACATATGATTAAGTACTTCTTAGGAGGCAATACCTAGCAGTGGTCTTAGGCTAGGGTTTATCAGAGCTCAGCTCACTGTCAGTCTACGTTGGAATAACCCAGGTGTTGTCTAAAAGGCAATGCACGGCCCCTCCCCAGGTCCACTGAGTCAGAATCCCTGGGTGGATGCTGGCAATCTGCATTTTAACCAACACCATGCCACTATGATTAACATGAAAGTTTGAGAGGCCCGACTTAGTTGAATTTGTTTATAAAATTCTTGAAATGCTCTAAAGTAGGCCAAGTAAATAGACTATAAAATTATGCCAAGTGTTATAAAGTTAATAAACATGTATTTTAGATGATTTAGTCACTAGATGAGTCGGTTTTTAAGTGAAATGGTTTGAGTCCCAACTGGGTAGCCTTGCCCACCTGCACACTTTACCCCCAACCCCTGACTCTAGCCATGGGGACTTCCTGCACACTTTACCCCCAACCCCTGTCTCTAGCCATGGGGACTTGGTGAGATGCAGAGTTTCAATAAGCAAGGACAAGTGTGTGGGGAGCTTGGGGCTGCAGTTAAGGCTGGATCTGGGATCAGAGCCCACTGAGTTCCATTTGAGACTGAGGCAAGGACTTAGCTGGGGGCAGGCTTGGTCTAGGGCGTGCAACTCCAGCTTCTGGATGTGAGGACAGCAGGGCAACGCCCTTCTAAATGCTTTGGGGAGCTTCCAGCCCAGGTGGCAGATTCCACAGGCTCTCCCTTGGGGCTGGCCTGGAACTCACACCTGTTTTTGTAGGCCTGTGGCCAGCAGGCCTGAGTGGTTGCAGTCTGGGACCAAGAAGCGATGGGGTCTGAGGAATGCACACAGGCTGGGTCCACCTTACCTGGTCCAGCTTGGTCCCCCATGGCAGCCATCTCTGGCTTCTTCTCCTCCTTGGGGATCATCCTGTAGATGAGATGATCCACAGATTGGCCAGACCGCCTCCATTGCCCTTCCAGGCCTCCTTCAAGTCCCTGGCCCACCCCAAGGTCTCAAGCAAGGGCTGTCTGAGCTGGGTGGGTCTCTACATACAGAGGAGGAGACTGAGGTCCAGGGAGAATGAGGGAGATGCTCAGTTCTTCCCATGCAGTTAGAGAAGCACTCTCTCTTTAGAGGGTCAACTCTGGGACATTAGGGGTGGGAGGAATGGGTCTCAAACTATTTTCATCCGCTGATGTAGTTTAGCTCTAATCAGCGGCTGAAAGAAGCTGGAGGTTTACATCAGGGGGAGAAGGGGTATAGGTGGAGAGATAGGGGTGACACTGGGGTCTGCAAGGCTGGCCCTCCCCTCCTTTCCCTAGTACTTGGCCCTAAAACTTGAGGGCACTGGCTGGTCCAAGGAAGCTGAGAAAACCATCACCCCCTCCTCTACCCTTATCCCAGAACTGACTTTCATGATGCTTCCTTTTATTTTAATAATGTTTTTATTTTAAAATTGCAGTTGACATACAACATTATATTAGTTTTAGGTGTGTGACATAGAGATCAGATATTTATATAACTTATAAAGTGATCACCTCAATAAGTCTAGTACCTCAAGGTGCTCTCTTCTTTCTCACCCTTCTCTTTCTCCTCCTCCATCTAACCCCCCCCCTTCCCCCGTTTGTATCTCATGACTTTCTAGGAAATTTGCAAATAAAATGAGGTTTAGAACTCCCCCTAAGCCCCTGCAGGCCCCAAGTCCAAATCCCCGAACTTGCCCCCCAAAAGAGAAGGCAGATCCTTTGAACCCCTGACAGATTACACACCCTGTGCCCCTCTGTTTTGCTTCCTGATTTTCCTATATTCCTTCTTTAGAAACACAATCTGCCTCCATTTGTACCCCCAAACCCACTCCCACTTAGGTCAGTGGTCACTGGTGGCTTGGCGGCTAATCGGGGTGTCTCACTCCCTCTGTAACTGTGAGCAAGTTGCTCTCCAGCTCTGTGACTCAGTTTCCCCCTCTGTAACATAAAAGGTTGGGCTAGATCATGGGGATTCATGGATGGGCTTCAAGAGCATTCACGAGCCCCCTAAAATGATACAAACATGAGCACGTCTGCATGCATTTGGGTGAGGGTCATGAGATGATTGAGAGCTCCGGCTGTGATCAATGAGGACTCACATTCTGCAGACCTATTTCTTGATAATCACCCCCTTTTCAGAAATTCACAGACATTGGGAAGAGCCCCTCATTGTCCAGACAGGCACCCTGCTTCCCTCTATTCCCTAAAAATCTTGGAGTCCTGAGCAAAGCAATTAGCTATCCCCCACCATGAATCGTAGCTACCCCTTCCTCATTTAACCTAGAGTAACCTAGGCTTAGAATCCCTCCCTTCCCAACTCAGGATTCAGGCTTCCACGAGGCCCCACACTCCCCAGACTCTGCAGGGCCCTTCCTCTTCTTGGACAGGAAGGGGCTCTGGGAATTGGTTCATCTCCTCCACCCACTCCCCACAGCTCCTCACATTCCCTTAGGATCCTGGTACCTGAGAGCTGGGACCAGGTGGGCAGAGAGAATATCAGACCCTCAAGGTTAACACCTCTGTCGGGAAGCTGAAGGTTGGGTGGTCGGTGTCCATGCAGCAGAAGGGCAGTCAGAGAGCTGAGTGCGCCTTGCAGCCAGCTCTGGCTTCAGCCGACGAGAATTGTTCCTGCCTTGTTGTGGCTCACAGCCTTATTTCGGGCTGCAACTGGATCCAGGGACAGATGCTAAAAGCACCAGGCCCCAGGGAAGACAGGTGCCCCAGCAGCAGGCCCTTGCCGACAGAAGGGTTTGTACACACATGATCACACACACGTACACATGCACACACCAGAGTCACCTGGAAATGCTGAGAGTCAGTCTCCGGTCACTTGAGCTTGCTAATTGTATCCTTAGTGCCTAGAATGGAGCCTGATAGGATTGCCATAGATATATTTTGGATGGATGGATGGATGGATGATGGATGAATTGTCCTTTAATATCTTTGTTTGACTTATTCTTTCTTTCCTCTCTTCTCTTCTTATTTCTGCTTCCTTCCTTCTCTCCCCCCCTCCAACTTCTCACATTCTCTGAGCCTCTATGGACTGTAAATAAACAAGGCAGACTCCGTGCTCAAGGAGCTCAGCCAGGCCCAAGCCAGACCTGTAAATAAGCCTCTGAGATGCATCATGGGAAATGCTCTGGGAGGGCACCATCAGCTCAGCCTGGGGGTGGGGAAGGCTTCCCAGAGGAAGAGACATTTGAGCTGGGCCTTGAAGGCTGAGTGGGAGTTCACTGGGCAGAGAGAGGACACAGGAATCGCAGGCAGAGGCCGGGTCATGTATAAAAATGGTAGGAGGTCGGCAAGTAGAGCCAGAACTGGGGGTGGGGCAGTGCTGAGAGATGAGGCGACAGGTGGGCAGGGGCCAGATCACAGCAAGCTTTTCAAAAGGCAAGTGTGCTTTATAAAGAGCCGTGAAGAGTTTAAAGTGGTGGGATGGAGTGGTCAGATTGGCATTTTCCCAAAGATATCTCTGGCTGTCATGTGGAAAATTGGGGGGAAAGGGTCATACTGGAGGCAGGCCTTCACGATGGGAGGGATGGGGGTGGCTTAATGGGCAGTGACAGCGGGCATCCATAGGAGGAGAGGAACTTGAGGGGTATTTGAAGAATCACTAGGTCCTTGTGAGAAACTGAATGTAGGAGGTGAGGAGAGGGCAACTTCGGTGTCTCTGGCTTAGGTGACTGGGAAGGTAACCGGAGGGGCAGATTGGGCAGGAGGGATACTGCATTCAGGGAAGGGTCCAGCTAAAGAGAAACACTCCTGTGGAAGGTTGGGAGCAGCAGGGATGCACAGGGTCTGAGCAGGGATATCTGTACCTGTGTGGCAAACACTAAAGACAGATTTCTGACAACCTTCTTAGGAAGAAGCCTGGACTTTGCTGTGGATGGCCTGAGCGTGGCTTCCTCTACTTGGGTTCCTCTGCCCAGCCTCTGCAGGGCCTGAACATCCAGATAGGAAGGTGAGGAATGTTCCTAGGGCAGGTATGGCCTCACCTGGGAGTGGGGCCACAGTTCCCTTCTTTAGGTGAGGATGCCCCCATCAGGAGAGGAGCACTCCTAATGATTTGTCCTGCGCTCACTAGGATTGTCTGGACTTGAACATTACCTCCTGCTCTTGCCTGGAGCTCTGGGCTGCTTCCTCAGAAGCAGGTCAGAGCACTTGGCCCTGCCCCAGCTTGGCTCTGCACACTCCAGTGACAGTGCCTGTGGTCAGGGCTGGGCAATACCACCCTGAGACATCAGCTAACCCAGCTCACTCATTGCACAGACAGGGAAGCTGAGGCCTAAAGAGAAAGGAGTGTGTTTACCCTGCGTCACCTATCTAGAGACAGTAGAACCAGGACTTCAACTCAGGGACATCTCCTATAGCCTGGAGTTTTTATGTTGTTCCCTCCCTCTCCTCATGGATGCTACTTCTCAAGTTCCCATCCCATGTGCATCAAACATTCTCATCCACCCTAAGTCCCATGGACTGTCCCATGGTTGGGGAGAAAGGGCTTTAGATACAGACTAAAATGACCCAGGCGGCAAAAGGATTCAGGAAGCATTTATTTAGGTCCAGAGCTGAATTCTATAGGAGACAAGAGACAGGACACAGGCAATCTCTAGTGGGTTAGAGGAGAAGATGGGGGAGAAGGCAGTGAAGCAAGGGAAGAACCAGACGGAACTGCAGCTTTCCAAGGCTGCCCTCCTGCTGATTCTTTGTGTATATGCAGGGAGAAGTAGATGTTCTATGCCACCTTCTCAGCCAGTGGCCTAATAATGTCTCTTCTTTGAAACAGGCCTTAGTTTGGCTTCTATGTTACAAGGGACCCTGAAGCAGGTGACGACTTTGGTAAATGTGGTCACTCATCATTGATCCCCTCATCTTCCCACCAACAGAGTGTGTGTTCCCAATCCTTATTCCCTAGGAACCCTCTGGGATCAGTTCTTTATTGCAGAGCACCCTACTCACATCCTTATCCCCGGCTTCTCCTAGCTTCACTTAAGGGTTCCAGGTTTAACAAGTGAGTTTGGGTTAGGGTAAGTCTACCCCTAACTCACAATTACACTCTATCCTTCATCTTTAGCAACATCCTGGTATCCTTTCACCTACACACCTCTGATCTTCAGCCAATTCTAACACCCCACCCTTAATATCCTAAAGTAAATATCCTGAACCTCTAGAGGGCATCACCAGCCAGCTCTGGAAACTATGGAACTTAGCCAGTTCCTCCCCATGTCTCTCTGGGGATTAGAATCAGAGCCACCAGGATTTAAGGGGCATGCTAGAGCCTGCTGCCAGGTTTCACAAGGTCACTGGGCACCGGATACTAGCTAGGCCAGAGTGCAATGGGAAAGAGATAGATAGAACAGTGCCCACCCATCTGGGTATGATATGGATTCTGGGGCCTGGAACTGAAGAGTGGGTGCTTCCTAAGAAACCAGAAACATAGGTTGGCTCTGGTTTAACTTCTCACTCACCCACCCAAGCTCACCTGTCCCTGAATTCTGCCCAGCCAATTCTCCACCTGTACTCTCCTTCCCTTTCTAATGCTGTGGAATGCATTTCAGGGCTGGAAGAGCCCTCAGAGGTCATCTGAGCCAATCTATTTTCTACTAGAATCTTTTCTGTGCATCCTGGCCACTGCTTGCATACATCCGCTAACAAGGAAATCTTTGCTTCCCTCTTTCCATATGGTCAACCTCAAACTCAGGGCTCTCAGGTAAAACCACAGGCTAGCAGAGAGCTCCATGCCAACTCTGAAAGGGCTCAGCTTTGAAAGGGCTGCCGTGAAAGGGCCCGGAAGGGATAGATGGGTTGGAGGCACCTATAGCATTCCTAGAGGCCCAAGACCTGGGCCTGGGGGAAATCATGGCTGTAGAGCTCTCTTCTTGGGCTGCAGTTTAAGCTGGGATGGAGAAAAGCATGAGGGACTGGGAGGAGGGCTCTTCCTGCCTTTTCTGTCCAGAGGAGCGGGGCACCTTGAGCTGGCCTGAGAGACCTCACTAAAGGTCACGGTGGTAAAAATAGAGCTTGTCTGGGCAGGGATGGAAAACAGCTGCTACTGCCTGGGACTTGGAGCCAGGAAGGAGGATGGTCAAGCCAGGACCTGGACAGGGAACTTAGGCCTAGGACCTTCTGAACATACCGCTCACTTGCCAGACTCCAGAAAGCAGAGCCAGGAAGGAAGGGAGGAGTATGGAACCCAGGAGCACAGCAACTCTTCCAGGGCCCAAGGGGTGTGTGTGTGAGTGTGGCATTTAGACTTTTGGAGATTGCTTTGGTCAAAGCCTCACTGGAAAAGCTGAGGGTCAGAGGGTCTTTCCCAGGTTCGCACAAGGACTGAATGATATTGTTAGAGCTAGAACCCAAGCTTGGATCACTACTCCAAGCCCAGAGCTCTGGCCCCCGACTCCTTATCTCCGGGGCTGTCCAAACAGGCCAGATCTTTTGGGGATGTGGTGCGGAGATCTAAGGTTGATCTCTCCTAAGATCTCTTCCAGCTCAGCCCTCCCGGGATGGGAAGCGGGAGGCTTTAGGTGGTGCAGGAGGCCTCGGTGGGGAGGCTGCCACGCTTGAGCCTCAGGCTCCCATTCCACCCACGGGGACAGATGTTGTAGCCCAGGATGCCGGGCGACTTCGCCCCGGAGTCCTCGGAGTCGAGGGACACATCAGAGTCCGTGGGCGAGCGGCGATAGGGGAAGGGCCTGGACGGTGCGGGGGGCGGGCTGCGGGGGCTGGCGCAGGGCGAGGGCCCGGCCAGCAGCGGGCTCCGCGGGATTGGGGCGAACGTGGCCCCGAAGGTAGCCACTGGGCCGGGCCGGGCAGGCTGCGGCGAGCGCATGCGCGGTGGCGGCGGCGGCGGCAGCGGCGCCCTGGGCGGGGAGAAGGGCCCCAGGCTCTCGGCGCCCGCCGGCCTCGGGGAGGCGCTCTTGCGCCGGGCCGCGTTGATTATGTTTCGGGCCAGCAGAGCCTGCAGTTGGCGGCTGGGGGGCCGCACCTCCGTCTCAGGTCGTGTCTCAGGTCGCAGCGGGGATACCGAGCGCTCGCTCCACGAGGGGGACATGGGCGGCGGCGGAGGCAGCGGCGGGGGGCTGCTCATGCTGCCCCCGCGGCCGGGCTCCCAGGGCCGTGGGCTCACCCAACCGTCCAGGCTGCTGGGAGGCCGGGACGCGCTCGGCGTCCAGGGCGGGGAGGTGGGCAGGCTCTCGCGGTGGTCCTGTGAAGAGAGCAGAGAGGGTGGGGGCAGGTGTTAGTGTTGGGGTCCTCCATGCCGGGGTTTTGGAAGGGACCGAGTTTAATTTGTCCGTGTTATAGTTAGGAAAGCCAGCGACTAAAAACGTAGGTGCCCCCATTCTCAGCCCAGATGCTTCAAAAAGCCCACGCTGGCCCTGCACCAGCCTGGGAATTGAAGGGTCCCAGGTTCGAATCCAGTCAAGGGCACATGCCTGAGTTGCTGGCTGGATCTCCAGTGGGGGGCATTGCAGGAGGCAGCCAATCAATCATTATCATTGATGTTTCTCTCTCCCTCTCCTTTCTCCTCTGAACTCAATAAAAATATATTTATTTAAAAGAAAAAGCCCACACTGCTTGCCCTGCACTTAACAGGGAGGCAGGTGACTAGTGGTTAGGAACTCTCACTTTGGAGACAGACCCCTATACTTACTGAATGAACTTGGGCAACTGGAAACCTGGACTTCAGTTTCCTTCTCTGTAAAATGGGGGTCTAATATCAGCATGTACCCCATAGGGTTGTTGTGAGAATTAAATGAGATAACTAATGTAAAGAGTATTACATGTGATTTCCTGGGAGAAAGAAAGTGCTCACTAGATGTCATTCATCATAAAGAAATACTGGGGGGATTCACATGAAACTAACCAAAGTGGTTCGTTAGGAAATGGGGTGAGTGGGGCAAAGCACACCGCCACAGGGGTGGGAATAAGGCTTTATGTACTACTTTTTATGTAGGTTTAGATTTCTGAACCATATGGATGTATTATCTATTCTAAAATTAAACATTTTTTATTATTATTAAGGTTGGGCTTAGGCAAAGACTCTCTCAGCCCCAACTCCATTGCCATGTTGCCATGGCCGCCTTCTCATTTTTCCTTGAACATCTTGAGCAGGAAGGAAGTTCCCACTGACAGATGGAAACACAAAAGGAAGTTGTGTCATTCCTCTCTAGACAGCATGCTCCCCTCACTGGACTTCTTTTGACATGAGGTGGGTAGTGTGGACATCTTTAAGCTTATAAATTATACTATCATATTTATTTCCTGCCTACTTAGGGACTTTCCAGTCTACAAGGCTCAGTCTCATCATTTGTCTATCATTAGATTCTCACAACGGACTGGTGACATAGCTGGCATTATCACACCCATTTTCCAGTGGTGAAGATGAAGTTCAAAAATGTAAGTAACTATCCAGTATGTTCTGCCCACTAGATAGAGTGTGTGTGTGTGTGTGTGTGTGTGTGAGAGAGAGAGAGAGAGAGAGAGAGAGAGAGAGAGACTGCTGCTTGAAGGCTATATCATGCTTAAACAGTCTGAACTGATATGAAAGTGTAGGGAGTGGGGATCCTTCCCCAGCATGGATTTGCTAAATCAATTTGTTCATCCAATCAGATCCCAGCAATAAACCATTCCACTCAGGCTTCAATCCAATCCAAATTCATCACCAATCATCCCTCAGAGTCCAGAACTAGCCAGTCCATTCAGTGCCTCCTACTCAATATCTCATAACATCCATTCTTTAATTCTGTCAGCCACATCCAAGCCCTTCAGCCTCTCATCTGATCAAGAATCGAATTTATCCCAATCAAAAGCAAACAATGGACATAAAGTATCTGTTTTCTCCAATGTAGCGGCTAGAATTTGAGCCTTCTGCATGGAAGGAGAAAAAGGCCCAGGGGTGGGAAGGGGTTGTCTAAGGTCACATAGGAGTCAGGTACAGATATGAGACTAGAATCCAGTTCTGACTCTTGGTGGCAGTTTGTACAGCAGTCTGGACAGTTCTTCACGGATGGTAATGCTCGAGTGACCCTGGGCCTCAATCACCCAGTAAGAAAGTTAAAGCCCAGCAGGGATCCACCCCTTATACTCCCAGGATCAGAGTTGTTTTTACATTAGCCAGAGACGCTGGGAGCTGCTCTGTCTGCGCAACATCCCAGGAAGCTTGCTGTCAGCCCAGCTCAGGGAAGCAGGGCCAAGAGTTCATGATCAAAGCCCATCAACACGCATTGAGGCAGAGCAACCAGGGCTCTTTAGCCAGAAGAGTAGTCTGAGGCAGGGGGAGCTGAGGTAATTGTCTGAACTCTCTAAGGGTTGTCTCTGCCTTTGGTGGCCACAGGGGGAAAGCTAGGGCCAGCAAGTGGAAGGAATAACGGCTTCTATTGGAATGTTGGGGGCAGTGGTGAGCAGCTCCTCCTCATTTGGAGGTGGGCCAGAGCCTGACCTCATCGGAATTGCCATGGCTGGATACTGACTGTGTGTGTGTGTGTGTGTGTTTGGGCGGAGGGGGAAGATGCATAATACAAAAAGGCTGCAGGAAATCAGAGCTGTTCACTTTCTGGCAAAGATCTCAATGCACCCTGAATTTCTGTATATATCAAAACTACTTTGAAAAGCACTTGAGTGAAAATTCACAAAGTGCATCACTTAACCCAGCACCAGCCCCAAAGCAGGGCACATGAGTGGGGTGCAGGCATGAGGAGAGCAAAGTCAGACAGGAACTGAGACCAGACCTAGCTCCCAAACTGCCTTTTGAGGTTCTTCCATTGCATGGAAGGGGAAACTGAGGCCCAGGGGTAGGAAGGGTTATCTAAGGTCACACACAAGTCGGGTGCAGATCTGGGACTGGAATCCAGGTCTGACTCTCGATGGCAGGATGTTCCTCTCCAGCAGGGGCAGAGATTCAGTGTTATCTGGAGGCAGGTGGTGGTGAGTGTGGGAAATGGCCAGATTTACATTGTAGGGAGAGGAGAAGGAGACCTGAGGGAACAGGAAAATGCATTTCAATTCCACTTTTAAAGAGCTCAAACCAACCTGAACTGTAAGAGGTTGTGGATTTTCTCCAGGTTCTACAGTCTTTTTAGCCAAACTCTGAGGAAGGAGAAAACAGGGGAACGTGTTGTCCATTGGGTTCTGACATCTGGGGAAGAGAGAGGGCACCTTGCTTCCAAGCCAGCACACATCTGTGTGTGCCCATGGCTGATCCAGACACACAGCTGATGCAGGAAGCACAGGAGACACTCCACACGTTCACACATAACCAAACAGTCCCATCCCACTTCCCAGGTCGGAATCAGGGAGGAGAGAGACAACCCTGACCACCAGCCGGTGAGCACGGAAGAAAGGAAGCAAGACAGAGTTGAGGCAGAGTGTATTGAGAACAGGAGAGAAGACAAAGTGGGTAAGAGCTTGGCCAGCCTGGCCGCAGGCGCTGCAGGATGGAGGGCGGGCTCTTCCAGGGTCAAGGGAGTGGGTCTAGGGCAGGCGCCTCACTCTGTCCTGAGAGGGGGCTGCATGGAGCTGCTGAGCTCACTCAAGGCTCCCCATGCATGCCCCTGCATTCTGGGCAGAATGAACTCACTGGGAAGGCACCCGTTCCCATGGAGATGAGCCCGGAGCTCAGGAAAACGGCAGGCTCAGCCCAGCATGAGCACCGCCTCCACCACCCCTCTCCCCACGGGGAGCCCAGAAATAGGGCTGGAAAAGAGTCAGTGGGTGGTGCTCGGGCCCCAGCCTTGGGAATCTTCCATCTGAATTCTGCCTCTTGCCTCTGTATTCTCTCACCCCCCACAAAGCCTGGTGTTGGGGGGCTGCAGCACATAAAGCTTTCAGAGGTGGTAAAGTGCTCATACTACTGCGGGGAAACTGAGACCCAAAGGTACACATGGAGTCAACTCTTACGTCCCAGCCTTTTCCTCAGATCCTAAAAGTCTCCTCCGTCCCATCTCCCTGAGCTGAGTGCTCCCGCCCCAGCCCTTGCCCCGCTCCCACTGCCCTAGCAATCCTGCCCCTGAGCCATTCCAGTCTAGGCTTCTGATCTCTTGGCTCCTCCAGCAGCTCATTCCAGCCACGCCCTCCCCAGAACCACCTTGCAAACATCTCATCTCCATCTGTCCTACAGCAACTGCCCATCTCCTTCCCTCTCCTCCCAGGGCACTGTCATCACTTCAAGGCCTTTCTCCCAAAGCACCAGCCTGTCTCTCAGCCCGCACAGACTGACACACCTGGTGGAGCCTTCATTGTGTAACTGAGAAAACTGAGGCCCAGGGCGGGAAAGTGACTTGGCAGAAGTCACTCAGCAAATGAGAGGCTGAGATGGACCAGACCCTCCTCTCCTGCCTCTCTCCCACTGAATGGAGATGGCTGCTTTCAGTCAGGCACATCTTGGCTGAGGTTGCAGCCAAAACAGCCATCGGATGCATTGCCAGGGGACTCTCCTCGCTGCACAGCCTTCTACAGGGCTCTCTGTCTCTCAGGGGTTCCCTGGGACCTCCCCTACCCCAGAGCAGTGAGGGCAAGCCAGGTGGAACCAGGGTGGAGGTCTGGGATGAGCTGCTTTAGCTGTCCCTTAAGTGGAGCCAGGTGTTTGGAGAAGGCGTGGAGGCAGCTGACAGAGGGCAGGAGAAAAGCATCAGACAGCAGTGGGCTAAGTCTTCATCCAGCAGGAGAGAATGCGGAGGCCGAGGCAAAGCTCTCTGAAGCAGCGGAGAGGAAACGGTGTCCGGAAGGCAGAGGCGGAAGAGACAGACCCGTGGAGTAAGAATCCAGCAACAGGTAGAAAGGTGCCAGGAGCTGGGCCACATGAGGGTGGCCCCGCTGTCCCACAGGCTCTGGCAGGGTGTTTGCTCCAGAAGCCCGTGTGAAGTCCCCTTCCGGGCCATTCCCAATAGCTCACAGAGGCCAGAGGAAGCCCCAGCCTCATTGGCGCCTGCCTCCACGACCCTCCTCCCGCCCGTCAGCAGGCCTTCTATCCCTCTGACATGGAGTCCAACCACCCTCCGAGCAGGGAACTGGCAGCTGCAGCTCAGAGAGGGGAGGGACTTGCCCAGCGTCAGTCACAAAGCTGGCCGTAGCAGCATCAGCCCTTGAGCCCCGAGTCCCCGTACTCCTGACTCTCAGCCCTGTGCCATTTCCTGCCACACTGCTTTCCATCCTGCCCTCAGAGGTGGGGCCCCGCCAGGCAGTGGGATCCCTGTGGGTCCGTTACTTGAAGCAGAAGGAAGGCTTCCACACCTGAGCCTCGATCCCGACATTCCGGGTGTTGAAGGAGGGCCTGGGGGCTTGCTTGGCGCGGGGAGACCAGGCTCTGGAGGGAGACACGGGGGAGATGTCGCTGCTGTAGGTGGGGCTCACGGCAGTGGGCTGCAGGCCGTCCTGGCCCGAGGCTGTGTAGAGGCCTGGCGAGGAGCGGGAGGGCCGGGGCAGGGCTGGTGACCGCGGGACGGTCGCCTTGGGCAGGCTGGGCGCCAGGTCCAGAGAGCTGGGCTTGGCGGGTGAGGCGGCTCTCGGCGAGGCCTTGGTTGGCTCCTTGATGGGGGAGAGGACAAAGAGCGAGGGCCGCAGCTGGTAGGGCGGCTGCTTGGTGGGCTCCGGGCGCAGGACCCCGTTCTCAGGCAGGTAGCCGTGGTAGAGGGAGGCGGGCGGGGTCCGAGCCGGGCTTCGGGAGGCCACGCGGAGGCTGCCAGGGGAGTACTTCCAGGACGAGGGCAGGGACATGGTGGGCGAAGGGCAGCGGGCCAGCTCGGCGTGGCCCGAGGACTCGATGACATACTTCTCCATGCGGGACTGGCGGCGGGCGTAGAGCTCTGCCCCTTTCCCCGAGGCCTCGGACAGGTTCTGGTTGGGTTTGGGCTTCGGCTTGGCCTGTATGCGCGGGGACTTGAGGCAGGAGGCCCACTCGGGGACGGCGTTCTCGGCCGCGGTGGGGCTGTCCCTGTCTCTGGGCGCCGCCGGCTCCTGCTGGAAGTTGGAGGCCTCGGCCCCCAGCGCGAAGGGCTCCTCCTCCCCACCGGCCTCCCCCTGGTCTCTCTGCCTCCGCTTCTCGTCGGCTGTCTGCACCAGATCCAGCAGGTCTGGGTTTGGCGTCACCTTGGGCTTCTCCACGAAGGTGAACATGGATTTCCGGCTGCTCCTCCGGGCCATGGACTCCTCCAGAATCCCTGTCTTGCCGGCGGGAACGGCCTGGCCTTTCACGTGGGAAGGCTTGGAGTCAGAGCTGGGGTACAAGGCGGAGTAAGAGGGGGGAGACCTCACCCGGGAAGCCTGGGGAGCCGTGGACAAGGTCTCGGCGTACGTGGGGGGTGGGGTGAAGTTCCCCACGGGGCGCCTCTCCAGGGCGGGGCTGCGCTGTGCCACGGGCCGCCTCTCCACCATGGGGCTGTGGGACATGGCGTGTCTCTGCGGCCGAGGGCTCCTGTCGGCCATGCTGGGGGGCTGGGAAGCCGGGGCCTTCCCCCCGAGATGTCTTCTCTCTACCATGGGGCTCCGCTCCATCGGGCCAGTGCCTCCTGGTGCCTGGCTCCCAAAGGGCCTGGCCGTCCTGTTGACCACGGACGCGGGCTTGGCCAGCGTGAGGTGGACCTCACTGTACATCTTGGTGGGCGTGGTGGGGGTGGTGGCCGCCGCCCGCCCCGGTGTCTCCTGTCCTGCTGACACCGCTGGGGCGCCGGGCTGGACATCGACGAGCAGGGAGCTGGACATGAAGCCTGGGCCCGGGGACCCGGAGCTGGGAGCCGCTTCTCTGGGGAAGGTGCCGCTGGCGGCCGATGGCGCTGACACCTTGTCGGTTAGGAGTGTGCTGGGTCTCACCTGCTCCCGGGGTTGCCCGCCGGCGCCCTGGGTGCTGGGTGTAGAGTCTGGCACTGTGCCGGGCGCTGGGAGCTGAGCCTCCGAGGAATTGTGCTGACGGCTAGAGAAGGGCAGGCTCTGAGGGGTGCCGGCCGCCGCCGGGTTCTGGTTGACGTCTGTGGCTGGCGGGTTGTGGCTCTCGTTAGAAGCTGGTGTGATGAGTGCGGCACTGGGGGAGGCCAGGTTTTGGTTGACATCTGGAGCTGGGCTGTGGACCTCAGCTGGAGGCGGGGTGGGTGGACTCTTCTGGGTCTCCCGGTTCTGGGACAGATGGAGCCCATTGGCCGTCAGCAAGGCTGCGTTCTCCTTTAAATAGACCACCAGGGGCACCTCTTCCTCCTCACTGGCCACCTTCTCCAGGTGCCGCAGCAGGCTGGCTTCCTCTGAGCACCCCTCCATGCTGTGACTGGAGACCGCTGGGTCCGGGCTGTGGCCGGGGGGGCTCCTCGGAGGGCCTGGCTCGGGAGGCGAGGCGGGACTCACGCTGAGCCCTGGGGCATGGCCTGTGGGGCTGCAGGAGGGCGCTCTCGGGGACTCCTGGCTGGGCTTCTGTGCCCGCCGGCCGTGGCTCTCCAAGGTGAACTCGTTCACCCTCTGCCGGCGCCTGTTGAAGAGCTGGACACCTCGGGAGTTGGAGCTGGGAGGGGTGGTCAGCTGGGCTGCGATCTGCTGGCTCCGCGCCTTGGCCTCTTTCAGGTCCTTCTCGGTGAGGCTCGTGCTCCGGCCCAGCGCTGCGGGGAGGGAAGGAGGCCGGGTTAGCAAACGGGAATGCAAAGCCACAGGGTGCACAATGGACAGACGAACAGACAGTCACCGTGACCCCCTCCCACAGATGACCTCTTCCTCTGGCATTTTGATCTTTACTCCCTGTTTCTCGCCTCATAAAGATCCCTGGCCCAGCCATCACGGCCCAACTCACACGCCACCAGCTGTGTAAACCTCCCTGAGGACCATATCAGAATCAGCCAGCCCCTCAGTTGGAGCCCGCGGGTTGCTGATCCAGTTCTCAGGCACACTCAGGAGAACGCTTCACGCTAGCAGTCCTGGCCCCTCTGTAGCCTGACTCCTTCCTCTCTCTCACTAGGCTGTGCCCTGCTGGTTTTCTATTTGCTGAAAATGCCAAGTTTGTTCCTGCCCCAGGGCCTTTGCACTTGCTGTTCCCTCTGCTTGGAATGATCTTCTCCCAGGCAGCATTCCAGGTGGGCTTCTTCTTACTATTCAGGACTTATTGTCACCTCTCTGGAGGGGTCTTTTCCTGTAACCAGCCCTCTCCTTTTCTATCCCATCTCTTTTTTATTTTCTTCATGGCATTCACCACAATTCACAATTATCTTCTTTATCTGTTTCCTTGTTTACTGTCTGCCTCCCCCTTATCCCCTTCCACTAAACTCTAAGGTGACAGTGACCTTGCTTGGCTGGCTCAGCTTTCTAACCCTGCCCCTAGCACAGAGCCTGGGCGCTCAGCAAGCACGACTGAATGCACAATGAGCCCGGGACACGCTCTTGTGCCTTTCTTAGGGCCTTTACACTGCCAAGCCCATAGCATAGTCATTAGCATGAACACTAACACTTCTCCTTTTAGAACAGGCAATGCATTCACATGATCCAAAAAAAATTTAAAACATAAAAAAGTACACAGTGTTCAGAGACAAAAAGCACACAGTGAAAAGCGTCCCTCCACCCCGAGCGCCCCATCACAAGTCAGGTAACAACTGTCATTGGTTTCTTCTATGTCCTTGCACGGTTTCCTCCCACTTTCGTGTAAACAATTATTTTTAAATTCTCATACTGTAATATAAAAGTAATAAACGGGGCTAATTTCAGCAGCAACTCGACTGGAACATTGCATTGCTTCATGTTATCCTCACAGGAACACCAGGGGACAAGCATTCCTGGCCCCTGTTCTACAGAAGCAGAAAGTGAGGTCTGGAGACTTTTAAATAACTCGCCCAAAGTCACAGCAAAGGGTGGCAGAGCTGGAGTCAGAACAGGTCCCTTTGGGTCCATAGCCCATGCTTATTTCAAAAAGTCCCCTTGGGACATTGGGGGAGCACAGTCAAAAGGGCTCAGGTTCAATCTGGAGCTAGAGTCCAGGGCCTGAGGTCAGGGGGCAGGCTGTAGTCAGACCCCTATTAATCTGCAACCCTTTCTCTGTATATCCCCACTGCCCACCTGGCACACAGTCGGTGCTCAATTTATGCTCTTGAACAATGACTAAAGAAATGGGTGCACGAACAAACGGGCCGATGGACAGGTGGAGGGGACAGGCAGGATTAGCAGCTCACTCAGTGGCTGAGAAAATTCCTCCCCACCCACCCCCACTGTGGGAGCTAATTAGTTCTGGAGGAATGTGACCTGGCCCTTCCTCTCCCTTGCCCTCATTAGTGCTGGCCGTGACATGCTGAGTGAGTGTCCCGGGACTGTTTCTAGGTATCCTGCCAGCGAAGCCCAGAACTCAGGGACTCTCAGAGCTCGAAGGGCCCTTCCAGAGGGGCAGTTTCACCCCACCCCCATTTTAACAGATGAGGAAACAGGTCCAGAGAGGGGTGCAGGGAGAGCCCCCAGCAGGGACGCCACACACAGCAGTGGCTGCAGACAGCAGTTTCACTGGGACCAGGCCCAGCAGCCACAGGCTGTCCGGCCCCAACCTGCTTTCCTCTTCCCATCAGGATGTGGTCCCCCACCACCAGCATCACCCCAACAGACACCCCCCCACACACACGCCTGCGCCCACCTGGGGGAGGTTAGGAGGGCCCTGAGAGGTTGCTCGGCTCATGCAGCGCCCACCTCCTCTGCTCTGCTTAGAAACCAGGCCTCGTGCCCAGATCCAGGCTCTGCCACGTGCTAGCTGTGTGACCTAGGCAAGTCACTGCACCTCTCGGAGCCAGTTCCTCACTGAGAAGGGGATGAAGCCCGGGTGCGTGGGGGGAGGCCTCGGACTACCCTGGATGACATGGAATCGGGGACCCACTCTTCTCCCTGGAGGGGTCAGAGGCGGTTCTAGCAAAGGAAAGTTACTCCACAGACCAGGGTCCTGAGAGAGGCGGCGGCCTAAGGCCACACAGCAGGGGATTCCAGCATTCTCGGGGCAGGGGGCAGGGATTATTGCCCCAGATTACAGAGTCTCAGAGAGATGGCTGTCACTGGGTCCAGTTCCTGCTTCCCTAAAGCCATGCCCCTGAGGGTGCACACCTCTCTTTACACACTCAGTCGACATGGAGCTCACTACCCTGAAGAGGTGCCTTCCACCTACGGACACTCCTCAGCTGGAAAGCTGCTCCTCACATTACCTTCTGCCCCCGAACGCCGCCCAGAGACAACGCTTCGTCCCTCCAGCCCTGCAGAGGTTCCCAGACAGAGCACGTCCCATGAGGCACGGTCCGGTCAACGTGCCCAGTCCCACCCACGCTTCTTAGGACACAATGGCAGCCACCGTCACTAACACTGGCTCTTCCTGTGGGCCTACACGTGTGCTTTACACGGGCTGACCTATTTCACTCCCACGACAACCCTATGAGGCACCAACTATTGTCACCCACTCTTCAGTGATGAGAAAACGAGGTTCAGCGAGGGGAGCCGGAAAGGAGGGGAGCTGGCTCTGCGTGACTCCCGACAGCACCAGCCCTTCTGGCTGGCAGGTTCCCTCAGGGCGAGGCTCAGAAAGCGTTTCAATTTGAACAACAGGGGCTCCAATCGACCCTGCACTCGCCCCTCCCACTTCCCTGCTTCAGTCCTGTCCCCAGGCTGCTCCAAAGGCCATGGATTTAGAAAGTCCTCAGCTGGTGGGGCAGGAAGGCCCTCGGTGGGATAAGCTGGCCTGGACGGCTTAGAGAGGGGAGGGCTGCAGAGCAGGCGGTGGGCCAGGACCTGGGCTGACCCCAGGGAGACGAAGAGGCCCCCCCACCTTCCCCGCTGTTGTCTCGGGACAAGAGGAGCATGGCAGACAAGGCCAGGGGCCGAGAAAGCCCAGCCTCTGACGAGCTCCCGTGCCTTCCACCCCAGCCCACAGTGACTCCATGGAAAAGGAATGTAGCAGAAGGCTTGCACCAGACCCAGCTAGCAATCCAGATGAGTTTTGCCACCCTGCATAAACAAAGCTGAAAGCAGGGGCCAGGCCAGCTCCCGGCACCCAGAGTCCCCAGGGCAGGGCACGAGGGAGGCAGCTCCATCCAGAATTCCTCAGACCGGGGAATGGCCACCCCCGGCAGTGCCCAGCCATTGGGCCCAAGCCTGCACTCCCTGGTGTCAGACGGGCAGGAATGGGCGCTTCACTGAGCCCCCTACCTGCCTGATCCGGCCTGCACCTGTGCGAGTCACAACAGCGCCCTCTCCTCTCCTCTGTGCTCTGCACGGCCAGGCTGGGCGCTGGCCCCTGAAAGGCCCACCTGGACAATGGAGCAGGAGCTCTGAGGACGGGCCTTAGGAGAGGACGAGGTAAGGGCAGGTGCAAGGAGGGGCTGCCGGAGGAAAGCAGGGGGCAAGGACCAGGATCCACCAGGGTTCAAACCCCAAGTTGGGGAGGCGGACAGGAAGCCCTGAGGTGGACATGAGAATGAGGATGCAATGGGGCTGTCATTACTGAGCCCTTCCTACAGCCCAGGTGCTGTGCTATGCCCTTTGTACTCCTCTTTTCAGTCTTTCCCACAGTCCCCCAGAGAGAAGACTGTTATTCTTCCCAGTTTGCAGATGAAATCAGAGGTCAGAGAGACCTGCCCAGGGTCAGACAGCTTGTAAGGAGTAGAGCTGGGATTCAGAACTCAGAGTCAGGCTGCTGAGTCTCATTTCTTAACCACTCTGCCTTCCAGACCCCGACTGCAGGGGGAGGAGCGGGTAGAGGCTCCAGGCCCTCAAACCCCGTTTCCTCATCTCACCAGCAGTGCCCTGGCAGTGCCCTCTCCCCTGCATGGTCAGCTGCCAGGAACGACTCTGGCTTTCTCCCCCTTATTCCTCTGGGGAGAAGAGCTGAGGCAGAAATGATTGCTGGGACGTGAGAGACGAGGTTGGGAAGGATGTGTGTTGGGGTCCGAGTCCTGAGTTCTAGCTGTGTTCAGGCAGGGCAATGCCCTCCTCCCCTCAGCATCTCTGCAGACAGCAGCCTGCTCTGTCCACTGTCAGGCCCGTCTGCACAAAGGACCCGCAGGAGGGAGGTGGGGCAGGGGAAGGGAGGCGAGAGCATAAGGTCAGGACAGGGAGAGAATTCAAGGAAATGTGTCTTCACATGCTGCCGTCCATGGGAGTATCCTCCCCGGTGGGACGGGGGCAGGAGGTGGGAACAGAGACTGGCTGAAGGCAGCCCACTCTGGCTGCCCGGGAGGCTTGGCAAGGGGACAGGTAAACAGGCCGGGTAAACGGCCCCCCTGCCAGAGTCAGGAAGGGACCAATGGCTGGCCGCTGCACAACCTCTGGGGGCAGGAAGATGAACCGGGCTGAGTAATGGTCTGGCCACCTTGCCAGCCCCTGCCCCACATCCTCCCCGCTGAAAGGAGGAAATGACACAGCTGTCATCCTCTGGAGAGTTCCCCGTCCCTGCCAAAGCCCTGGTGAGTGCAACCTGACGGTCCCGGCAGCCGGCCAGACCGCTCAGGGGGAGGACAGTTCATGCTATGGTGTGAGGGACTGCCAGGACAGAAGACAGGCCTAGAACAAGGGTGGGGAGCCCCAGACCCAGCTCCAGCCTGGCCTCTCCCAGAGGGGTGCCCAGAGGGGAACTGAGACCAGAGAGGGGTGCCCTAGGCCCTACCCCACACGCCCCAAACCACGAAGGCCCCTCCGAGAGCTCCTCGTACTCACTGTGGCCGGGTCTTCCCTGCCGCCCCGTTCCCCTCCGGTGCGGAGCCGGCCTTGGCTCTCACAGCCTCTGGGAACGGCAGCCAATGGCCTCGCTGCCGGGGAGAGAATCCCACATCGCCAGCAGCGCGGAGGAGCTGGATGTGCTCCTCTCCTCCACACATGACTCAGCCCGCTCTTTATCAGGAAAACCGATTTTGCAACAGCCTTTTATACGGCCCCTCCACCCCCAGTCTCTTCCCCCGTCAATCTACCCACTCCACGCGGCCAGATTCATCGTCCCCCGCCCGGCTCCCCTCCCGTCTCTCTCCTGCCTCCCCAGGACGCGGAGGATCCAGTAGCAAGCCCTCCCGGTGGCATGCGGAGCCCCTGACGTCAGAGCTGCCTGGGAGCGTGTACCTGGCTCCCGGTGCCCTCGCAGTGGCCAGAGCGGTCCGATGGCGTGTGGCTCCCACACCCGCCCCGGGAGTTCCTGCCTCTGCCGCGGGGTTTGCATGGACACCTCCCCCGGGGAGCCCTTCTCTGTCTCACATCCTCCTCGCCCCATCCCCGGCCTTCCCACCCATCCCAAATGCCACCAGCCTCCCCAGAACTCCCCCTGACCCCCCAGAGCTTTATCGGCAGCTCTCAGTTACCTCATCGCTTCGCACATTATTCATTTTACGGAAAGCTGCCCTTCAGGGTGTGCTCACCACACGCCAGGCCCTCACTTCATTCCCAGCCACCCATGGAGTCCCAGGCCCCCATCCCTGAGCCAGAGGAGAAACGGCTCAGGGCGGCCAGCAGCTTGCTCCAGGGATTCAAATCCAGGCTGGCCCAGGGTCAGGTCCAGGCCAGGCTGCCTCCTTCCAATGTCTGGCTTTGCAGCGATTTGGGTCTGAATCTAATTTTGCCCCACAGACTGCAGGAGCTCCCACTGCGTCGCCGCTGTTCCTCCCTGCCCCCCACCTTCCATGGTGCTCCCAGTGATGAGGATGACGACAGCCAATGCGTAGGGAGCACCAGCTGCTGCCAAGCTAAGGGTCGAGCCTGTATTTTCTCTCATCGAGTCCTCACAGCAGGTCATAAGGGAAGCTCCCTTATGCCATTGGACAGCGGAGGAAAACGAGGTCCGGATAATTAGCAAGCTCACCCCCGGCTGCAGCCAGCGAGGGACCTCACTGATCCCAAGCCTGGACACCTCCTCCTGAAGAGCTCTGCCCGCGAAGCACACTCACTCCTCACGCACTGCCCCAGGCCCAGCTCAACTGCCACTTCCTCCAGGAAGCCCTTGTCAATCCTTTCCGATTCCTAGACCAGTGCTCTTCTGCTCAACCTGGCCTATGGGCCTCAGAGCGGGAGGACTCAGTGGCAGAAACAACAGGTTGAGAAAGCCCAAAACCAAGGCTGAGGGGAAGGAGACGGTGCCCAGCTCCCGACGCCTCTCTGCGGACAGTGAGGGGTTTGGGGGGAACTGAAGACAGTGGCTCCCACGTTGGCTGCGGCCTTGGCTGGCAGCTATCCCCACGGGCCACACGCACTGCTCCCCGTGGCCCACCAGGACCCTGCTGTGGGGTCCACCATGGCCCTCCTGCCTTCCCCTCCGGCCTAAACGTTAATCTACAATTGGATTCTCAGGGACTTGGAAATGGTGCTGCAGAGAGAGGCAGGCCCAGCCGAAACCGGTTTGGCTCCGTAGGTAGAGCGTCGGTCTGCGGACTGAAAGGTCCCAGGTTCGATTCCGGTCAAGGGCATGTACCTTGGTTGCGGGCACATCCCCAGTAGGGGGTGTGCAAGAGGCAGCTGATCGATGTTTCTCTCTCATCGATGTTTCTAACTTTCTATCCCTCTCTCTTCCTCTCTGTAAAAAATCAATAATATTTAAAAAAAAAAGAAAAGAAAAAAAAGAGAGGCAGGCCCAGCCCCAGGTGCACAGCAAACTGGAAAGGGCTGGTTCACCCAGAGCCCAACCTGGGCCCCTCCACCCCCACCTCCCAGTCCAGCCCTGCTGAGCCAGCCGCCCCAGGCGCTCCCTGCCATACCTCCCTTCCAGAGGAAACTCTTAAGCCAGGAGACAAAAGAGGCGGTGAGCTGGCAAGGGTGGCGGTAGGGGAAGGGATGCTTTCGCTTAAACCCTGCCTCTGCCAGGGGCAGCGCTGGGCCTCGGCCCCCAGCCCAGGGCCTGGCACACGCTGGGCTCTGTACAAAGATGCAGCTCCCGCTCCGGGCCCTGGGGTCTAAGCGGCAGCTGGGCTCCATCTTCAATGAACGCCCCGCGCTCGGCAGAGGCTGTCCCCCCGCGAGGGCTTAATAGCCAAGTGTTGACTAGATAAATGACTGGAGGATGAGCACTCTCACCGCCCAAATCCACTCATCCGGGGAGATGAATCCTAGATTCATCTGGATCCCAGATTGTCTAGAGTCCACATCAGAGATCTAGAGGGTGGCTCGTGGGGAAAGCGGAGAGACCGGGGGAGTAACAAGTCTGTGGGGTGAAGAGGGAGATGAGACCTTAAACCACCGTGTTAGACCTAAAGAGGCAGAATATTCCACTAAGTGCTGGGAGAATCTAGAGCCTCAGAGTGAGAGGAGTTAGGATGAAGCAACCTGGGAGGTCTTCCTGGAGGGGGTGGCATATGCCCTCTGTCTTGAAAGATAGAGATGTAGAAGCATTCCCAATAACGGCGGCCCAGCAGAGGCTGGAAGGCTCAAGGCAATCTCCTTGAGCCTCCCACCCCCCAAACCAAGGCCAGGGGCACAGAAGGGCACCTTGCAGAGGAGCCCACCGGGGGTTTCCAGAGGCTGAGGGTGAACGGGTTGGGCCGCGCAGAGTTCCCTGGGAGCTCTGACTTTAGGGCTCATCGTGCCCAGAGGCCAGAAGCACTGAGCTGGCTGCCCCAAGACTCCGAGGGGTGAGGGGGGGGGGGTGTTACATAACCTCCCCACTGCCGAGGGCCACTGATTCAGCTGGGACCCTCCACCGCCTCCGCTTCCACCTCCGCAGCCTTAGCCGTCTGTCTCGGCTGCTTCCCTCTTAGGGAAGAGCCGCCCAGCAGCCAAGAGCGGAGGCCAGCGCCCTGTGGTAAATTCCCCACATTCCTTCCTCGCAGAAAAATAAATAGCCCGGGAGAAGAACGCAGGAGGAATGGCAATGACGCCCCAGCCCCAGGCGCGCTGGCTGGAGTCACAGTGCCCAGCAGCACCCAGCGCCCAGCGCTGGGTAAACAGTGGAGGGAACCGGACCTGGGCTGAGGCTGTGTCTGCTGCTTCTGCACAGGAGGTGTCCTCACCAGCAACCCCCTCCCCTGTCTACTTCCTCCCCCACCAGCTCCGACCCTGGAGGCTCCTCCAGGCTGTGCTCACTCTCTTGGGGTCTCAGCTCGCCGGGAATCCGCCCCTCGGCCATGGCAGGTGGCCTTGGTAGGCACACTTGTCAGGCGCCAGGCAAATGTCACTTGTATTACTCAGAATGCTGCTTATGCTCAGGCTGTTTGTCTCAGCGCTGCCATTACTGTATCACGTTGTTCGGTCTCACAGTTTGTAAAAGGGGAGTACCTGACACTGCACAGGTGAGAAAACGGGGGCGCAGGAAGATCTGAGGGTTCACCAAGGCTATTTGCCCAGTGAGTGGTTGGCAGTTTCCACTCCATTTCTCCCTCTCATGTTCATGCATCGGGCCTGCCCCCCACCCCAGTTCTCAATCACTACATCCAACCAGAGTGCAGCCTGTTCCCAAGGCATGCTGTGCAGCCGTTAGTAAATCCCTTCCCCTCTCTGAGCCCCAGCTTCCTCGCCAGCACACAGGGACGATGGTCTCTGCTTGTCAGACCCACTGCGGAGCAAACTAAATGAAGACATTTCTGTAGTGTACAGCACTGTGCACTCCTGAGAGGGATGTCACTTCAGCCTTTTGCACAACCCACCTCTGGATAGCTCTGTACACCAGGGAAGGGCTCTGTCTGTCTGTCCGTCTCCAGTCCTCTCTGGGTCTGGTCTCCCTTTCCTGCTCAGCCCAATCAGGCACAGCACAACTACCCTCACCCTCATCCCTTCACCCCCCAGAATCCTCTCTGCAAGGTGACCCCAGCATCACTGTCCACCCAATATGCTGAGGCAGAGAGGACAGGGTTTGAATGCCGGTTCTGCCTCCTGCTATGTGCGGGTCCAGGACTCCTGGGAGGGAAGGTGCGGCCAAGGTCGGCTCCCATCCCCGGGCACACCGCCCTGCAGCCCGGAGGGCGCTGAGGCCCTGGGCGTGCGGAGGCTGCTGACCCTGCCATGCCCCCATGCCATTTACTAATTACCAGCATGTCTGGCTCCCCTCCAGCAGACGTCTGTGCCAGCGGAGAGGCTGACTCACCCGGCCCCGCCGGCCCCTCGTCCCTCCAACGGCAAAAGGAAAGCAGACTGGAGGTCAGGAGAGTTGGCTCCAGTGTGCGTCCTGCCACAGCCTGGGTGCGACCCTGGACTGATTCCTGAGCCTTTGGGCTTCGTTTGTTCGAGCATTCTAAGAAGGGACTGGCCTGGACCAGTGATTCCTAGAGTGGGGTGCTTCCACACCGCTAGTGAAAGTGAAGGGTACAGGTGGTACCCTGATCACGAAAACCTTACTAGTCATGTAGATTTCACTTGTGTTTTGGGAAAGGAGCATAATGAACACACTGATCCTGTGAACGGTACATTGCTGCTCAGGGAGATGTAAAAGTGGATCTCTCAGTAACAAACGTTAGACAAGCTAAAGACAATCAGTAAGATAGGTGGGTGCCCGGACTCCGTCATCGGCCACTACTAATCGCTCACCAGCTGGGCACTGCTCACAGCCATGATGAGGGACAGGCAATCCCTGCTTGCACTCTACTAGGGGAGCAAGATAAATATTTGAGCAACTAGACACACAATCAGGTGGTAAATGCTATAGAGAAAGATGGAGCAGGGACTGGCGGTAAATGGAGGCGTGGTGTGCAACACATCACTGCAACGTCACATCTGAGGGAAGAAGTGAAGAAGGTGAGAGGGAAGGAAGCATGTGCACGTCTGGGGGAGGAGAGCCGGCAGAGGGAACAGCCGGTGCTAAGGTCCTGGGGCAGGTGCTCACCGGGCAGGTGTGAGGATGGTGCACGTCATGTGGAGGTCGGACACGAGTGAGGAAAACAGATTCTCGAATGGCCCTTCTGCCTCTGCCCTTTGGGACCTCAGGGATCACCTGCATTGCTACCATTTGTACACACACATACACACACACACACACACACACACACACAACCTGCAGCACACATGCATTCTCAGTAGCTTCTCTATGCTGCCGTGAGCTGGCTAGAGGTAGCACATGCTCCCCTGCACACATGCCCACGCACAGAGGTGCTGTTTGCTTCCCCCCTGCACTACACGAAGCAGAGTGTACACACACACACACACACACACGCACGCACACGCAGAGCATAACCCCACACGAATGTGTGTGCACTGAGCACCCACAGGTGTGCACGTGGAGACACACGGGTGCTCAGGCGGTGGACTGGCATGGATGCACACGCAGCAGGTGCACACCTTGTGGGAGGGCACAGGTGCCCCCTCCTGCCAGACTGCCCTGTCTCCAGGTGAATGAGTTACCGGACCACCCCTGCCTGGAAGGCACATGCTATGGAGGATGGTGAGAGATCCACGGTGTGGTTTCCATATGCGATTCTCCAGCATGTTTGTGCCTCAGGCACGGTTCCCTTTTCCGGGGGTGCGTTACTATCTGCGCCTCATGCTCAGATGTCCCTGTTGCTGTGGAAAATGTCCCCTTTTCTAACACGCCTGCAATGAAACGGATAAGCCATGTAACATGCCTAGCTCAGCACTGTAAATGCTCCCAGCTGCTCCCACCATCACTGCTCATTGCCGTCATCCCTGGCTTCATCGTAGGATGCTCGGGGCAGCTGAAGAGCAGGAGGAAAGGGCTGCATTGGGAGCTGCAGGCCTGGATGTAAGTCTCCAACTCGTTATGAGGCCTCCCGATCCAGCCCGAATCAGAACCCCGCAGAACGCATCAGGGAGTGTGCCCCAAATGCAGATTCCTGGGCTCCGCTCCAGACCCAGCACCTCGGAATACGCGTGTGCACAGCCTCCCAGAAGAGTTCTGAAGTGGTCAGGTTGGGGACCACTGGGCTTTAGAGCCCACGATTTTATAAACGTGTTTGTAAGCAAATCAACACACAGGGAAGTGCATAACGTTAACAAAAAATGCACTTGAAAATAGATTTTGTACATAAATATAGCCATGATTATATACTAGCCCTTCAATACGCACGACATTTTAATGGTCTCATAGCATCGACACATCCGTCAGAGGCGGAAGCAGAGCAGGAATAGTTACAGAACTTGCCAGACCAGAAGGCTGATGCAGAGCAGGCCCAAGGCGCCTTGCAGAAGGCAGGTCTTTGGCTCGGCCCCCTGAGATGTGCCCCCTCTGGCCTCACCACCTCATCCCATATGGTTCTGACTTCCTGCCCTGGGTGAACCTGACCTTTCACTCCAGGTTTACAAAAAATCTGCACACACATGACTTCAACAACTCAAGGTTCTCAGAGAACGAGGGCCACCCCACCCAGTTAGTGCCCTTCCAGTCCTAAGGACCTCCTCCCTGAGCAGTGCAGGGTGTTCCCAAAGCCCCACCTCCACATCTGCCATTTGATCCGAAACGCTCCTTCTGTGCCAGCCTCGGTTTCCTCTTCTGTAAACGGGCCTCCTAGTTCCTACCCCGCAGGATGAGTGGGAGGACCGGGTCTCATGTGCAAAGCACCCAGCACAGCGGGTGTCAGGCCCGGCACCCATGCTTCTGTGACGATGGAACACCACGAACTCGCAGGCTGGAGCGAGCCCCTGGAAGGCAGGGGTGCGCTCTCATTTACCAGTGTTCCCACCCCCACCCCATGTGACACATGCTCCATAAGAATGTGCTGATGCACGAAGACACGATATCGCCAAAGCCGCTCTCTGCTAGTCCTGCTTACCGTTGTATTTCGTGACCCACTTCCCAGCGTGGGGGCTGCAGGCACTGCACAGGGCCGGTGGGGGCCGGAAGGGAGGGGCTGTGGCTCCGGGGAAGCGCCCGCACCTGCCAAGGCCGTGACGGGGGAGGCCGTGTCCGGGGAGCCCTGAACGTAATCCTGTGACTCAGAGGCATAAATAATGCACCAGCATGTTCTCCCGCGGCCACTCGTTCCGCTAAGAATAGCCCTGGCTACCCTTTCAGGGATCCCACGGCACAGAGAGCAGGACATCGAGTCAGGGACAAGCAGGGAAGGCGGTCGCTAGGCTCTGGACCTCCCTCCAAGCTCATCTTCCCAAACCCGTGAGACAGGGGACCCTGGAGGTCAGGCTGAACTGCTCTTCAAGGCTCGTGGTCAGGGGCTCTCAAGGGACAAGGGTGGGGCCTGAGGAGATGGAGCCCCCTCCCCCTTCTCCCACCAGAGCGGTTTTATCTTCCCTTCCCTCCGGACTCCCATTCTAAAGAAGCCCAATCCTCCAACCCGGCCCTCCACCTCCTCCTGCTCCCTTGTCAGGTGGTGAATACATACAGAGTGGGTTTATAAGTACAACTTTGGAGAGACGGGAAGACTCCAAAGCTTTTGATGCTATTTTTTTTTTTATTTTTTTTTTTATTTTTTTTCCTGTTTAGAAATGACCGACCTAATGCACATGGTAATTACTCCGGGGTTAAATTGCAGATTCTGAGTCAGGAGGTCTGGAGTGGGGCCTGACAGTCTGCATTTCTAAGGGGCTTCTGGGTGGGTGGTCCTGCATCCATGGGCCCTACACATAGAAAAACTAGAGTATTTCTCTTTAAAATAGATGGAGAAACTGAGGCCCAGCGGGGAAAAGGGATGTACCAAGAGCACAGAGCAGAGCTGGGCTCAGAACACAGTCCTCCTGATTCCCCCGAGGGTTTTCTCCTAGGAGGGCTTTGAGGTTGAATCGGAGTGGAATAGGACAGGCTGTGGGAGTCGGTCCAGGGACAGGCCTTCCTTCTGCCAAAAGCTGAACCCCTGGGTCCACAGGCGCCCACACAGGTGACAGAAAGTCAGACCGCAGCCTCCTGCCCAGGAGCAAACCCTCCTGGAAGGCAGGCTGCAGCAGGTGCCGTTAACGTGCAAACCAGACCAATGGGGAGGAGGAGCAGGCCGCGCACGCCACAGTGAGTCAGTCACGGCGAAGGCTGGGGTGCAGAGGGGCCCTCAGCAGCCCTGTCAGGATGGCATCAAAGGAAAGAAGAAAAGAAAGGAGGCAGGACCAGCCTCCCGCCTCCCAAACCAGCACAAGGAACAGCTCCTCTTCCCTAGGATGGGCCTCAAGGCCCTTTGTGCAGCCCCCTGTTCCTTCACACACACACACACACCACCCCATCCCCGCTCCTCTGAGGGTGCTTCCCCCCTCAGCCACACTGGCCCTCCTTCCAATGCTCAGACAGTGCCCAGGTACCTCTCACCCCAGGGCCTTTGCACTGGCCGCTGCTCTTGCCTAGGCCCCTTCCTCCCCTCATCCTTCTGTTTGTCCCCTTCTGGTCTGTCTCCAGGTCTAGGGAGGGCTTGTCTGCCCTCAGAGGCCACATTCCTCTGCCACCGCACCCTCCGCCTCTCCTCCAGACTCCCACCAGAGTGGTAATTCCATCGTTATTTGTTTTAGCAGCCGTCTGCCTCGTCTGATCCTAAGCAGCCCCCACAGGGCAGGGATCTCGGTCGTCATTTCTCTGCTATGTCTCTGCCCCCACGCCGTAGCTGGGCCTCAATAAATACCTGTTGGCTGAATAAGGGAATAAATGAATAAAAACACTGCTCACGTTACTACTGCAAAGCCCTCACCTCTGTGGTTTCAAGTGACCTCCCTTCCCCAGGAGAGGTTGTACGGGACCTGGATTTGCAAGATTATCCGGGCACACAGCCCTCGCTCTGCCCTGCCACCCTGCACTGAGCGGCCCAGGTCACGTGGCCTCTCTGACTGCGGCTCAGGCCCTGCTGGTGGGTCTGTGTGAGAGGCGGGACCGGAGAAACCTTCTGAACGCTTAGAGAGCTTTCACTGGTGGCATTCCTCTGTCCTCGCTTGAGGCTCAGCGAGGGAAAGGGCCTCGTTCAAGGCCATACAGCCAGTGTGTGGTGATGCCAGACCCCCCCCGGGCACAGCTTAACGCCAACAGCTGAGGTTCGGGCCCACCCAGGCTGGGTGAGGGCACCATCTGCCTGGAGGCTGGGCAGGAGTGGGGGAGGCAGAGGAGAGGAAGGCTGGGAGCATTTAGCCTCAGGCCCAGAGCCAGGGTGGGGTGGGGTGGGTGGGGCCCCAGCGGGAACCCTGAGTGGGACCTGGCAGCTGGGCACGGGGGAGCCAGCTGGCACAGGCTGGGTGGCAGCATGCTGGCTCTCCGTGCGCGTGACAGTCTATTTTTTCATCAGCACCCTTCCCATCCCCCAACCCATGTGCCCTCCCAACGGGACCGTAGCAGGAATCTTCACTAAGGCCAGGCCCCCCTTGGGGATGGGTGGCCGGGTCCCCAAGTCCCTCGCCCCATAGTGCCCATAAGTGCTAAAGCAGCCGGGGGCAGGACAGGAGACCCAGAGAATAAAGGTACCTCCTGCTTATGACCTTGGGCCTGTCCCTGGACTCTCTGACCTCAGTTTCCCCCATGGGTACAGTGACGGGAGGCTCGCCAGTGATAGGAGGCTCCACCATGAGGCTGGAGCCCACTCATGAGGCCCTGGCAGGGCCTCCCAGGCCCACAGCACTGACGCCCACTCATGAGGCCCTGGCAGGGCCTCCCAGGCCCACAGCACTGCCAGGCACACCTGATCCTCCCTGACCCACTCCTGAGGGAGGAGGGAAGGGGGGAGAGAGGCTGGCTCCAGGGCCGAGCTCAGAACCCCAGGACTTTACCTCACGTGTTGTTGACATGTAAAGAAATTGGAAGACCCCTGGCACAGAGTCCATTACCCTAACTGTGAACTATTGTTCCAGAGCGCCGGCTCTTGTCTTCCGAACACGCGTCATCCCTAAGAGACGCTCCTCCGGAGGGTGAATGTGAGTCCCACTCTCCTGCCTGTGGGGCTCATCAGCCTCCCTTTGACGGCCCCTCCTGCTGACCCCACGGCCCCCACATCTCCTTCTTAGCCCCTTTCACAGCGGCTCCGAGCAGAGGCCCGCGGCTCAGAGGAAGCACAGCCACTTGTCCGAGAGCGTGAGCCAGTGAGCGAAGACGGCGAGGCTCGGGCAGCCATTCCTGAAGTGCGGGCCAGGCCCTCTCCACGGGCCCTGCCCGTCCTCCCAGCCGCAAAACCTGTTCCCGGCCCAGCGCCAAGAAGTAATTTAAACCGAGATAGGAGTCTTGAGCGAGTGTCCATCTCCTCGAGGGCTTCCTATTTTAACAGAGATCGAGACATGATAATACTACTATTTAATAAGTAATAGGGTGGGGCTTTTTTTTTTTTTTTTTAGCATTTATTCACTTATTTAATTTTCAGAGCAACAGTGCAAGATAAGATCGATTATTGTTTGCATCTCCTAGATGAGAGAACAGGAGGCTGGGAGGTTACATAACAGGCCCGGTCTCCCCGCATCTCCTCACTCATCGGGAGGGGAGCCTGGGCTCCCGCCTCGGGGTCAGGAGGGAGCCTCTCGGGGAAGGGGAAGGGGAAGCCGGTGGAACAGGAGCGGATGGAATCTGGCCCCTCAGTAGCAGCCCGGGGCTGCAGGGCAGGGTAGCGTGGGGTCACACACTGCTCAGCAACGCTGCCTCACCGAGTGGAAAAGATGAAGCGAGGATGGTGGAATTTCAGGCTGGGGCCAGTTGGTAAAGATTTCATTCTGGAGAGAGAGGGCTTTTGTAAGCCTCTGGAATTACAGGGCTGGGAGGCTGTCCCCACTCGGACTCCTCCTCCTCCGGGACAGTTCACAGAGGACTCTGCGCTCACACACACACTGGGCCAACTCAACAGGGCCCAGCCACCCGTGGGACCAGCTCGTGGCCCCGGCTCCTTTGGGTGGGGGGGTCTGCCTGCAGCCCGAAGCCCAGGGGAGTGAAGGCTTTTCACAGCCTCAGCAAATGCCCCGCCCCCTCCTACCTGCAGTTCCCAGCTCAGACCTTTCACCACCCTCAGAAACACTTTCCTCCCAACCAAATCCCTCCCGTTCCTCTAGACTAGGGGTGTCGAACTCAATCAGAGAAGGGGCCAAAATCTAAAATCCAGCCTAAATCGCAGGCTGAATGGTTTACTGAACAGTCATAAACTGTCATTGTGATGGAAACGCAGCAGAGTGCAGTGATGACAGCGCGGTGCGGGCCACATTGCAAGGCCTGGCGGGACGGATTTGGCCCGCGGGCCTTGTGTTTGACACAGGTGCTCTAGACCCAGGTTCCGGTCCTGCCTCCTCCACGAGCCAGCCACGACCACACCTTCGGATAACACCCAGGCCTCTGCTCCGACGCCCCTCCAGAGAGAGCCCTTCCCTAACCACCAACACGAAGCAGCCCCTCTCCATCTCAGCGGCATGGCTTACTCTGCATGATGCCACTTGTATCTGTCTGAAACCACCTTGCTGCTTTTTCCTGGCTTCCCTTTTTCTTAACCATCTCCCCAATTAACATGTAGCTTCTTGAGGGCAGGGGCCTGACTGCAACTCCATGCCTGCCTACCCACCTAACCACCACCCCACACCCCACCCCCACCCCCAGCCAAGGACACTGAGTTCCGTAGAGAAGAAGGGATTCACCCAAAGTCAAACAGCAAGCAAGTGGCTAGCACCTAGGCTGCTGCATTGAAGGCTGTCCCCATCCCCATCCCTGTTGACTCCCTGCTGCCATACTACATTGGGGGGGGGGGGGGCAGGGCCTGCAAGTCCTCCACAGCAGCATCCCTCCACTTCCCCAGGGGCCCGCAGTGCCCCAATCTGCTTCCCCCTCAGTCCCTCCCTTCCTGGCATCAGCAGCTCCGATGAGCTCAT